GAAGCTTATGTCAAACACTATCTCCAGTTATCAAAACGAACCGATGGTTTATAAGTTTATTAAACGCCACGGGAGTCACCTGTGACAGATGTTAACGAAGGATTTGCCTTCAACAGTTTTCTAAGGGCAGTCGAAGGCTTAAAACTGGCCATAAACGTAGCATGTTAAATTGGTACCGCGTAGCACGTAGCGCGTAGGCCGTAGTAGGTAGGTAGGTAGGTTTGGTTGTCAATGCACATCTATGGGTAAAATACGTTTAGTAATGGTGATAATATTTCAATACAATAAGTTGCTGAAATAAAAGTTTTATTACCTTTTTTATTTTAAGAATAATAATAGCTCTCAAAGTTTCCATACCAATAAGAAAACCTCAATATCCTACATTCTAGTCTATACTAAACACATTCTCATAGGAATAAACCCATTGGTATTTTTATTGTATGAATTTTATCCAATAAGTCTAAATGGACTAACCAAGAATGTTGAACCTAATAAAATAATTTTCTTATTAGACATACCGCTTTTAAGCATTTTATACCCAACCCATCTAAATGTAAAATAAACTCAGTAGGGTAAAGAACATGATTCCCTGTGAAAGCGCAGCAATAACAAAGAGCAATTATTTATATTGAAGCGGACCCCTAAGTGGCGTGCAGCTCACGAAATGTTTAATTGACTTATTGAGAATGAGTTTTTAAATCTATCGTTACAATCGGGTGCGCGCTCATCGCTACATGTGAGTGTAGTATAGAGTAAATTTGAAGATGGCTTTATTAATTTTTAGTAATTTAATTAATTTTTTTATGAAATAGGAGGCAATCGAGCAGGCGAATCACCTGATGGTAAGCGATCAGCGCTGCCCATGGACACCCGCAACACCAGAGGAGTCACAGGTGCTTTACCAGCCTTGAAAAGGCATACGTTTTTTTCTTGAAGGTTTGAAGGACGTATCGGTTCGGAAATATCGCTAAAGATAGATTATTCTACAGTTTAGCTGTGCAAGGCAGTAAGTTCCGGGATAAACGCACAGTTGTGTATAGCAGTTATATTTTAAAACAAAAGTTGAAGCTGCTGCCTTTTTTCTCTATAGGACACTTTAACAATACATATAGCATTATTGTGATAGTAGGGACAAATTCCCTAAATCAAAATAATGGATTACCATGGACCATCATGGACCATGTCTATTTGGCAAAGATAGCTCTAGACTCCACCTAGCATCTAACGTAGACATTCTATTTTAAAACTACACAGATACGACACTAGTTAGCTACAAAATGACATTATTAAGTAACAATACAGCTAAAATTATTTCTGAATAGTTGCCAGTCGGTGAGAGGAACACTGTCGCCGCAACACCTACGCGACCGACAACAAAATAGTGACCGAGGCATTGATTTGCTCAAATACTAAAGATTGTAAGATTCTCCCAAATGCTATGAATCTTCTTGAAGCTTCTTCTCGTTATTCCAAAATCTATCTATATAACTGCCTCATTGGCCGAGTGGTCGCAAGTGCGACTGCCGGGCAAGGGGTCTCGGGTTCGATCCCCGGGTCGATCAAAATATTACTGAGATTTTCAAAAAATTCACAGTAGTAGCACGGAGTCTGGAATTGTGTCCGGTATATGGCAATAGGCTCACCCCCTATTACATTGGACTCATAACATAAATAGTGAAAAGTGGGTGATACATTGTACAGTGGCGTAATGTACACCTCTGCCTACCCCTTCGGGGATAAAAGGCGTGATGTTATGTTATGTTATGCTATCTTATATAAATAAAATGAATTTCCTTTCGTTTGTGTCGCTAAAACTCAAGAACGGCTGAACCGATTTAGCTGATTTCGGTCTTGAAATGTTCGTGGAAGTCGAAGGAAGGTTTAAAAGAAGAAGAAAATTTTTAGGCGGTACGAAGTTTGCCGAGTCTGCTAGTATTTTATAAAAATCTAATTAGATGTCTATTTACTACAATCAAATATAGTGTTAATCTGTGGTAATGGATATAACCAAAGTCAACCTATAATATAGATAAGGAATATACCTCTAAAGAAAGAAGAAATACTCTAAAGAAGCGTCATAAAATTCTTATTAGAAAAAGTCTTATTAGACTCATTACTGTCTTATATTTGTTTCTATTGGATATCAGAAGCATAATTGCTAGGAGTAAAACATCATGTATTCAGATGAACATTTTTGGAAAAAAAATTTGAAACACTATCTAAATAGGTAGCGGGTGTATTTTCTCGATGATTTTACATATACTACAATGAAGAGGTAAGCTGCGAGGCCAGATTTGTGAGGGGAGGGAGGCAGGTGCAATAGCCCTCTGTTACACGGGTCACTAGCCACTCCGCTTTACTAAAACACATTGTAATCTCCCACCCAACAAATGTTCGCCTACATATTAATCACAATTATAATTTTGAATATAAATAATTGAGTACACCTTCTCATTCAATGAAAGGTTACCTCTACTACTAAACACGTTTAGCGTAATTTATTTGTTAAACCATTTTTCTAAGTTAAAATATAATTCTTTTGAAAGTCGTAAATGTTTGGTCGTGGTGGCCCGGAGGTTTAAGACGCCCACTTCTCATGCATGAGGGTGCGGGTTCGAAACCTACCAACGGCAAGTACCAATGTGACTTTTTCCGAGTTATATGTACTTTGTAAGATTATTTAGACACCACTGACAAACGATGAAGGAAAAACATCGTGAGGAAACCTGGACTTATAATTTCTAATATTATAAGTTTGAAATCGCCAACCCGCATTGAGCAAGCGTGGTGATTAATGCTCTAACCTTCTCCGTGTGAGAAGAGGCTTTGCTCAGCAGTGGGCATTTATAGGCTGTTGATGATGAAATGTTTGGTATTTCAGAAACAATTTTAGTATATCTGTTTGAGAGGATTTCATAGCGAAACAGAACTGGCCAGGTGTACTCAGGCTAAATGTTAGCTTGTAATCTATTACGGTCCATGTTTAATGAATCATTCATTATTAAAACCCACTCATCAACTGCGTCTTACGTTTCATTATATTTCTATTTATTGCATCAATCATAGAAATAGTTTCCAATAAGTAAACCCGGATTTAGAACAAATAATACATGGCACAAAATAAATTACTTCGTGAATTAGTCACTGAAAATAAAAAGACGATCGTTTTATATTTGCATCGGTTAATGATAAAATAATGGGGGTTGATAGTAAGCACGATAGAAATGTAATTTGTATAAAAGTAGAATATCGTATTGAGGAGTCGCGCGCTTCGTACCAAGCACCGACAAGCCCGCGAGAAAAAATTACCTTATGACCAAACTAACCAGCTACCATTACCGGAGTTAAACAGCACAATGTCAACAAATTACACGACAACTTTTGTATAATACCTGACTTTATGAACTGCGAAATGTGGCTACAGAAATGTAAGTTCAAGGGTATTAAGTTCGCATATTACAGTAGTAAACATAAATCATCGCATTCGTGACTCGTGACCTACATTAGTCGGTGGAAAAAGAAACAAACGACAGTCGGCAACACGTCAGTCAGCACCTATGATACTTAAAGCGAATTTATGGCTGGAGCAACTCCTTTATCCAAGTTCTACGGCTTTGCGAGTGAATAGAGTAGGTCGATGGTTTCACGAATATTTCGTTATGGCAATCTGGTTAGGCGTACTGAGCCTAAATGGGTGAAAGCACGCTAACCTGCGAAGAGGGTTTCCAAACCAATTAAGGGCTCCACGAAGGCATGGGAGAGTGAGCAGCTGGTGGATTACGAGCTCGATGGTACTCAGTGCGCCGATTCATCGCCGACGGGACTATAAGTGTGCGGCACGCGAACCGTAACCGATCGACCGAAACGTTGTTCCGAGCCGTACACTAAACGTTACAATGTGCATGACATGCTCGGTATAGCTAAGCTTTGCTGTTAGATTTGTTACACTACAGAAATAGTAGCAGGAGATGCATAAATTGGTTCCTGGACAAAACTGACAAAACCCAAGAAGTAAACGGTACCTATATCAGTGCTAATATAAACTTGTCCTGCGTCTTTAAAGTTTTTCCTTAACTCGTCGAGTACCGGTTTTATAGACACAATAAAAGAACAATAGGTTGCGGTCACCGGTGACCGCTTGGTGTTTGACAGTTTAAATGTACAGTATAGGTGTGTGTACTCCACACACACCCATATTGTGTGTAATGTACATCAAAATAAATGATTCACCTGTTATTATGAAACATAGATATCTATTTAAGTACGCACAGAAGTCTATACGGTAGTGATACGTAACTGTCTTGTCTATTCCGGGAATTTATTCATAAAGGTAGGGCACAGGTCGTATTAGTGGACAATGTAAGTAGAGGGATGATTTATTTTATTTCTCTACCCAATAAATGGTGAGAGGAAATAAGTAATATTACACTGATAATAGATAAAATGTTGACACCAAAGCGTATTACATTTTGCCAAAACAATAACAATAATATCCTCACAATTTTACCTAAAGCAGTAAAATCATGAAAACAAACGTTTCACTCTAATATGACTTCGTATAGAAAATTCGTTTCAATAAAGAAAATAACGTGAATATCATGATGGAAGATATAAAGTTGTTTGAGCGCGCTCGTAGTCAATTTCAGTGTACTCAGTCAAATTCTTCCGCAAGACATTTTTCAACGACATTGTCGGGATCGCGTGATGTCTTGCAATGCACTTCGTTTTCGTAAATGCATGCACATTGGTAAGAGACTGGTTGAAACATCGCCCTTACTATATTTACTGATAGAATGCTAGCTAGACGTAAATGTATACAGTATACTTATGTAGATATGTAGGTATGTATCTTCACTTAGTAAGCCGTACTTGAGACGTACCTATTACGTTACCGGGGAGTCCCATTATTGTACCTTACTAAACGTAAGAATTTCTATTTTCAATAAAAAAGCAATCACTCAATAAAATAATGACTAAATAACATAAAATTCAGTACTCACGCATAAGAATTGTATTTGTAGTCTTCTTCTATGGGTGGCTGACGCACTTGATACCCCAGGTCAGCGCCATAGTCCGGCGGTATGATGGACCAGTTGTTATCATAGTTGCTGTAATAGTCGCCGTACACCATCTCGCCTTCACCCATCATTCTCATCATACACTAACAACGTCCACGATATACAAACTAATTCTACACTAAACACAAATTAAAGTTAAATTCTCAAATCACAGCAGATAAGCGAATTTCATAACAAAAGCTTAATTATTCTATAGATTAAGTATGATTAGTGCGGACGCGAGCCATGTAGGGACTGCGAGCTATCGACTGATCGATGCTTCACCGGTCCTTATCAATAAAATTGTATCGTTATCATATCTAACAGCTTTCCCCTGTGATATGGGACTTTTATAATAGGTACGCACACTACGACAAGTCACATCGCCCGCCGATGTGGGTACGTGTAAGATATTATATTATCTGTGTCAGATGTAATGTGCGAGCGAAACGTGCCACTGTCACCGGTTGTGTTATGAAATCCTGGAATGACAGGTGACGAACTAAGTCTTGATAAATAGCCACGAAATGATGGCTTATCTCACCTTGTAGTATGGCGCCCGTACTTGCATGCTCATATACACATTTTATATGGAATAGATATAACTATCTATTACTGTTCGCTGATATTTCTACAAAATAACTACGAAAAAGCACTACACGGTCTTCAAAATGTTCGCGTTGAACATTTCCTGTGGATAAATAATACGTCAGAGCAATGATTTGTATCCCGTTAACGTTTTTCTATACACCTACCCACTACCTATTTGATAAATCAGAGCAAAGCACAAGAAAGGTAGACAACCTTTGTGCGTAAGTACAAACACATAGGTGTGTGTATGCTAATTATTCAAACACGATATGTTTCCGTAAAACAATATCTAAGTAAGTATTCTTAAAACGATTCACGTGACCTTCACATAAATTGCCCCAGAAAATGTAAATTTGAAGAAAATTTATAAAAAAGCATTAATATTTACTTAAAACTCCAATATTATACGAAACATTAAAAAAATAAACACAAAAAGTCAACAAACATACTTATTGACAGGTTAAAATCGTTACAAAAGCTACGAAAGTACAATTGCTACGACAATATGCGTAAACATTTTCCAAATTAACAATGTAACAAAAAGGTTGTTGTGTACCTCTGGTGGGACTCGAACCCACAATCCTCGGCTTAGGAGGCCGATGCCTTATCCATTGGGCCACAGAGGCGACCGGCAGACCGACGCGAGTAGCCGCACCCGTTCTACGGCGCCGACGACGTCGTTGCGTCACCGCGCGTCATAGCGGGCGCGTGCGATCACACACACATACCTACACCCGTGATTATTTAATACATTACTCATACATACATAATAATTAATGTCAATTCAAACAATAAGTTCAATGTCACTTGATCTAAAGCAGAACGAGTTTGCTTCTCGTAAATATTAGATCCCAATAGTCGATGGTTCCGGATTGAACATGCCGAGGTAGGTACCAATCTATTTTTATCATTAGTAGGTATCTTACGCTGTGGTGTTACGATTAATTTTAGGTGACGTCACGGTGGAATTCCATTTTTTACAACTTGATTGCTTTCGTAGCCGTAGACACCTATCTACCTTCTATTTGTTTATGTACGAGCAATACCAATGCCTGCCACAGTTAGAACTATAATATCGAATAGAACATATTTAATTAATATACAAAATGAGTTTAAAATGTATTCTCTAATCTGCTCTCAATAATTACTCTTATCTATAAAACGTATAATTTGTGACGTACCTACATAGTGTTTAATATTTATTTACGTTTTTGAGTGATAAAAATAATCAGTCAAGCCTTTATTTTTGTTTAATATCAAATTGGCTTAACGATTGATTGTAGAATTACTACAATAATTAATTTTATCAGAACTAGGTATAGGCGGCACACAGCACATCAAGCTACCCCAAATATTCCCAATACATTTTCAACTTTATAACAAAGAGTTTAAGTTGATAATCTATTAAAAAGATTTTCCTCGATTCCGTCACATAGTTTGTCAACGTTTCACGTTTTCCAACGAGTTGGTACCCTTGTGTATCTAAATTTAGCAACATGTCTATCAACAGTAAGTATGCTAGTTCGATAAACGAAGCATAGACATAGAGTCCAGTTTCTTCTAACTAATCATAAATTACTAGACTTTAGTAAATTGTTGTCTAGCTGTACAAAAGTAGATCAAGGTTTTGTTCAAAACGCGAATTGAAATCTCTTATGAAGTCAGTTTTTAAGACGATTTCTATTCAATCTCTGTATTCGCACTGAGTCTGAGTTTGTGTCTAGTGTAATGTAATAGGCTCACTCCGTATTATATGGAACTCATTAACATAACATCACGTTCTTAAATCCTTTTAGGGTTTAAGGATATGTCCTTAGGCAGAGGAGCTCATCATCAACATTCGTAACAGTTCACTGCTGTTTGACACGGGATCATTTTTGTAAGGGACTGAAATTAGACAAGTATAAAAAAATGTGTTATAATTTATTTTTGTAGTAGATAATGTATTACAATGTTTTACAAAAGCTATTGTTTACAAACAAGCTCCTACCCTCTATTTTATAAAATTACTAAATTAATTAAAGCTTATAATAGATGTTCAATTTGTCTTACATAAATAAATCTTTGGTATCACCTAACTATTAACTGGATTAAAATATCATTACAATTAAGAAATTATTACCAATTTATCGACAGTCATGTTTACCATCAATAAAATAATGGACTGAACACAAAATTTTAAACTTCTTTATTATGTTTGGTGGTAAATGTAAACAAAATATTACACAACTCTACACTATTGTATTAAACTATCGCGGGACATTAAATTAATAATATTGTATGGCTATGGGCCCCAAGCGTGGCTGAAAACTAGTCGAGTTACCTCGACGAACAGTTACCTGAACAAGTTATACGACACAATAGGGGCCACTGTGTGTTTTCTCACAAGATGGCACTAGTGTGACCCTCTCGTCCTATAGAGAATTAGCTAGTGGCATATCATCTGACATATTTTAATATTTGAGAGCTGCAGGATTGGATAAAAAATCTATTGCTAAATTAGTGCTAACCGGTAACCAAAAGTACGGTAGCCCCCATTAATTTACTACACATGACATTTCCTTTTCTATAAACTAGGTGAATTATCTAAGTTTACAATGAAAATGTACTATAACACCGTTAGGGTATCTGACTAGGGCGGTTTGGTTACCGAAGTGCTTCTTGCACACAGGACACGCGTCACTGTCTGTGATCAGCGACCCCTGTGACTCGTAGTACTGGTTCATATCTTCAATCTGTAATGGACAAGAAAAAAAAGCAATGTAGTTAAAAAAGTTAAACGTTTAGTTTACATTTTGAAACAATATTTTTTCTGACAAAAAGGAATTTTAAGAGAAGGGAGAATCATGAAATAAACGAGGGAATTATGAAAGGGAGTGTCCGGGGGGAAAATCATCGAATGGCTGCTCCCGCCTGGGTGAGGCGGGAGGGAGTGTCAGACTCTTACTGACTGAAAACCACCCCGTTCCTTCTCTTGAACTTCGAGCCGGAGCCCCGGTAACCCGTTAGGTTCACTGGCTAAAGCTATTGGGATAGTTTTAGTAAACAAGAGCACAACGGTTCTGCTCCTGTTTCGAATTGGAACCCCAGTAATCCGTCTTGGTAATCCGCAGCGCCGGTCGAGCCAATAAGTAGGTTAGGAATTGATTTTACCCTGCTCATCAAAGTAATGTTCACTTACAACGTCTTCATAAGACTCGAAAGACCTGTTTATGATAAATATGATCACCTGTTCATGTTCAGCCTGTGACAGTCCTTTAACAATCTGCACCTGACGGGCCAAAGCGAACTGACTCTCCAGAACATTCTCTAATATTTTTTTCAAACGACACAGAGGCACTGTATCTGGCAACACCGATAGGACCTGGAAATCAACACTGAATTTGACTTACACATCAGTCATATCGGTTTTTTATCAAAAGACTCAAGAATTACTAGGATGTAAATATTCAAAATATTACTCAAATCCAAATGAAACTTACACCCAATGGTGACACTTTATCAACATGATCCTCTAATATATCGAGTGTCCGCTCTAAGTTTGGAACAGAAGTCTTCGGATGCATCGTCGCATTAGCCAACAGCTTACTGATCATTTCGCGCGCACTCTCTTTTTCAGGGTTAATGAGGATGCGCATCAATATGACATAAACGTCTTGGCTTTTGTTACTTGGATCTGTACTGGAATTTTCGCAGTGTCGCACCGCTTTATCTACATCCCCTATAGACAGACATACAAAATCTTTATTATTATTCCAATTACCAATAGATACATCAATGTGTTTCTATAGGTACTTACCTAATATTAGTACGTAAATAGCAAGTGCCTGCTCATGGCGTCCCAATTTTCCGTAAATGATGGCTCTTTCCTCGAATAGTTTATCAACCGGGAAGTGCACCAGAACTCTTTCAGGCATGTAATGCGCGGATTTTTCTAGAAACGCAATAAGCTTGGACTTGGTGTGTTGCACCTCAGCGTCAGTCAGGTTTGCCTTCTTGTCCGTGATCTTGTCTCGGTACATGTTGATGAGCGCGTCGTGGAACAATGAGTTCGTATCGTTCCACGTGTGGATCACGTGCTCCAGGTAGGGGATCACAAGGGACTCGTGCTGTCTCAGCAGGAAGTCTAATATCTTCGAACGGGGCAAGTTCTCTATTTCTACTTTATCTTCAATAAATATCTTCAAACCTTCCTCTGGATGATCTTTCAGTACCCAATCAGAGAATTGGAATATTAAGTTTATGTGTTCAGCACCTGAAACATTTCATTTTTGGATTTCCTTGTAATTGTGCTTTCTTTTGATACTTGAACCAAAATAATAGATATTATGAGTTATTAAAGAAAGCAAAAATGCAAGTCACGATCTCGATATTTGGTCTCCTCATCTAAATGAGGAGCTCCGAATACCCCAAAGTGGAGAATGACCATGTAATTTTCTGCACCTTGTCGCTGGCTACTGTCCATCTCAAGTTTAATCAACTGGAATGTAGATCACCCCACAAGATCTTATCCAACTGGAATGTGCATTACACTAACCAAGTTGTTGCAAATAATTCACCGTTCTTTGATAGCCAACTAAGCAGGAATCTGTTTGTTTTGCATGGTCTTTTAGCAGCTGCAGCGCTTTCATGTGCTGCCCGTACTTTTGATACAACATAACTAATTCGCTGTATTTCTTATGTTGTAACAATTTCTTGTCTGCTTCTTCCACACAAATATTGTTACTCGTTTGTATTAGATTTGTAACATCAAAATTCACCTGTAAAAAGGAAAATGTAATTTTACTATAGGAAGGGAGTTCACCTCCGGTCTGCTGGTATATGAGACACAATAGAAAATACACGGTGCCTAGCGTATTTCTACACTCTGGCATTCCAGGGGTTTAAATGTTTTATGGTATGTTGCGTTTAAACTCTACCCTTTCATAATTAACTACTATATATACTACTGTGATTAGGTACTTGAAATTATGCTTACCTGTAAAAAGCACTTCAACATAGTAGTTTCAATAAGCTCTCGGTGTTTACTTTCATTGGTCGCTTCATTTTGACCGTCTTTTCCTAAATTAGCTTGCACCGCTTTCAAGTATACTATCATGGCCTTCAAGGCACTTTCGAGGTCCTTACCAGACAATTTCTTTACTTTTTCTTTATCATCACTATTTGTTTTACAATCTAAGTCAGGAATTAATTTAATGACGTCAGCAAGTTCTGTCTTGAGTTTAATGAATTCTTTCATAGCTAGAGAATATTGTTTGTTGTCGAACAGTTCTAATGCGTATAGGCGTCTAATGGAATTGATCCTTTGCTCTTTTTCCTCGCGGGCATGTTGGTAGACTCTGTTAAAAAAGTTTGGTAATGCAAAAAATTTAAAGAATGCGCAACGACGATTTTTATAGTTTAATATTGACAGATTATTACTATCATACTAACTACGTCCTGGAGATGGTGACTATCATTTTTGCATTATGATTGCTAGTACACAAATGTAGCTAGTTACAACTTACCAGCTGGTTAGTGAATGACGGCCAAAGTTAAGTATCAAGACTGCTATAATCGAAGTTTGATATTAGAATCAAAAACTACACATTATTTAAGTTAGACCCGAACCTTATTGCAGATCGAACTGTGTTGAAGTTATTTAGAATATTTAGTTTGGACAGTAATTACACTTCCTATTAAGATTTAGCATTAACTCCAAAGTATAATATCATTAAATAAACATATAATTAATACCCACTTATTAAGCCAAAGCACATAACTAGGCTAGATCATTTACAGTACGGAACTATAATATAATTTTATTTTAATGTATTTGTGATAGTAATAAAACAATACAGGTACTTACATTAAGCAGTTTGATCATCTCTGCCTCCCTTTTCTTAATTGCAGTTCGAAACATTTTGTAATATTTTTTGTACTTTCAATTAAAATCATACTTCCCACAACACTCCTCTGGTGGGTTGCATTATGTACTGACTAATGATTGGTTTTAACACCGATTTTCCTCTTACCCCATTTAATTAATACATTATATTTGTGACTTAATTAATATTATGATTAACGGCGTGCATGCATAAACGAACGTGCGTATGTACTTGCGTAAATAAGTACTAACTCGTTACGTTAATTCCGTTGTATAGTCGCAATGGCGGTGTTTAGTCATTAGTCATTGTAAACTATTTACTGTTGCTTATAATGTAGACTCTAAACTCTAATTATGAAATTCTATAATTAGTCAATCTTATGACAAAAATAGCCATAATAAATTCATATAAATGATACAATGAATGTTCTATATATATATATTTTATTTAAATATTTTACATTAGATATAATTCCAATATTTTGACCTAGGTACTATTTAATACAGTGATAAAATATACATACAGTATTGGTTACATTTATATTAAACTCTGTACATTGATTCTTAACATTACTTTCTATTGAAATAGCTGTATACACACATTTAGCTAAACATTTCATATAAGGCGCACAAATATATTACATTTTAGTACATATCTCAATAAAAACTACTTAGGTATTTTTTGAAATCAAGGCATTTATCCATCATTTGATGGTTTGGGATGATAAAAATATGATGATGCTTCATTGACAGAAACTCTCTTAAATAGATACATTTGAAAATCAAATCTATGGCTTCTACATAAAGCATTATGTTGGTTTTTCAAGTCAGCTGCATCATGACATGAATTCCTAATACATTTTAAATATTAGGAAACAGAAACAGATTAATGTTATACTATCCACGAAGTTAGGGTAGTGCACATTTTAAACAAAATCCTGTGGCAAACTCGCCATCCACGGCCCTGTTTTCCCTATGGTCTCTCGCGCCGAGTGCATGCGAATATCGCCTAATGATAATCGACCGGCAACTTTGTCGATTTTACATACTTTTATACGGATGTTGTATATCTTGGGTTTTTTTATTATATCAATGTCATTATCACATCATGATTAATGTTTCAGCTATTGACAACTATATTTTTTTTATGTATTTCCCATTCTGACTAAATGACTGATGGATGAAATTATTTTTCCTCTCAAAATATTTAGTTACAACTAAGTAAACATTAAGCGGATAAACCAATTGATTCAATAGTCGTCGATCATTGAAAATAATAGGAACTATTTATTAGCAATGACTTAAGTTAAAAATAAGCAATGTTGCAAGAAACTGCTTGTAAACATTATTTCTGTTTAAAATATCGCGAGACATATTAAATTAAAATATTAATATATAATGTAATATTAATTTCATTTAGTATGTTTCACGGAGATGCTCGACTAGTTTCGAGCGACCCCGGGTCTCATATAATTAAGCGGGCCGGCCGGCAGCTGAGGATAGTAAACGTAAGATGTACAATATACAATTTCATTCTGAAATTACCATCACAAGCACGATTGTTTCAGTAATTCTAAGAAACATAGCTCACCAGCATTTGATTAGTTCTTTTACATTCAAATGCCAAACAAGCATGCTATCAACTTGGCGTACTTGTGCAAACATTCGCCGACACTATTTAAAACATACTTTAACAGCATATCATAGAGTGTATTTTGCCTAAAACGTGTCTAGGACATGAGCAAAGCGGGCCCATTTTATACTGCCTGAAACTTAGCTTCTTACACAATAAAAAGGTTAACTCGCATAATAATAAAGGAACTTAACGTTTTTCGACTTTAATTCGTCAAAAATTAGTGAGTTTTGAGAGAATATGTTATTTGATTGCAAATTTAGCGGTTTATAAAAACAAGTACCGCACAAACATAACAAATATAATAATTGTCGGCTCAACTATTGCAATTTTCGCGCGGTTTCCAAAAACGGGACAATTTTGCGTCCCGGAATTTATTCCATGGACAACGGGCCACGTAATTATAAAAAGGGAAACCTTACACATGAAGTATATAATTATGATACGAGATCACATTTATACATCTAGGTGCTTACTCTTGAAACCAATCTCAATGTCAATGCAATTTCAATCCAATAAAATCTCAATAATTATTTAATGCCAAAGCTATACAACCCAATACCATTTAGTAAATATCCACGCCATACGGATGCAATGGGCGCTAGTGTTGCAACGCGAGAGTACGAAATTTCAAAATACCAATGTCGATCATTCGGAATTCAAGAGTACGCCCTCTGATAAATACAAGTACTTCAGTAAAAAATACCTTCACTGCTGCCTATTTATCCGTATTTAGTTCGTATGCTACAGCTTAGTTTGACAAATACGCCAAAGTTGAATGCAGAATATTTAATATACCTACGATATAGGATAGGACTAGTACTACTTGTCAAGTCTACAATTGAAATGGACTATGTCACCGTTGGGGTATCTGACGAAGGCGCTCTGGTTCCCGAAGCGTTTCTTACACACCGGACACACGTTGTAGTCATTTATAACAACGCTCTTAGATTCGTGGAACTGTTTAACTTCTTGTACCTGTAAAAAATAGGAGTGGAATTAAATGTCTATTTATTTATCAAGATATACATGTATCTCAAAATTTAACGTAATAATTAAACTATTTTTTTAAAAACCTACAGAGAATAACCGTCGTTTGTCACTCTTCGTGCCATTCTCAATAAAGATGATCAAAATTTTTAAAATATTTATGTTTCTTTTTTGCATTGATGACCGGAATAGTGCTGCCATCCAGGCATCAACAACAATACCATACTACAAATATGACAGTATAATTAACCTTACCTGCATATGTTCAGCATATAGTAAACCTTTGAGGACTTGCATGCGTCGCTTCAACGTAAGCTGCCCATCTAGAGCGCTTTCTAGGAAGTGCTTCAAACGACTCAGTGGCACCGAGTCTGGTAACACCGATAGAGCCTGCAAGTTAATAGATTAATTACAATAGAATAGTTAGATGTGGAAATGGGTACAATATTTTTAAAGAGCTGGTATTTGGTGAGAAATTGTCTGGTACCGCGAGAAATTAAGAAATCTCTTGTGGCCAAAAAGCCCGGTTAAAAGGCAACAGATGAAGTTAGGTACGATAATAAGCGATTGCAATATAGATTATTGTGGATTCCTCTTTTTCTCTGAGAATGATGACTAAGAATTTCGAAACCAAAAATATTTCGTGCAAAGCTCTTTGCTCAGAAATTGCTTGACACTCGACTCGCAATTTGTATATAATTGTAATTTTTATGGAGCATTACTCAAATATAAATCAAATACATCACTTTCCACTACACTTACTTTTAAAGGCGAAATTTTGTCGGCATGTTTCTCCAGTATATCGAGAGCTGTCTCCAGATCTGGGACGGAGGTCTTCGGGTGTCTTGGAACTTTGGCTAACGGATTCTCTTTGAGCGCACTGTCTTGTTGAGGATTCATGAGTATACGCATTAGAATGACGTAAACATCTTGATTCTTATCGTTTGGAGTCGCGCTAACATTTTCACAGTATCTTATTGCTCTATCTACATCTCCTGTAAGTAAAACAGCAAATTTATAAGTATTATTATTAACTTATTCTCACAAGAACTTTTCAAGGTTAATGCTTACCTAATATTAGTACGTAAATGGCGAGTGCCTGCTCATGGCGTCCTAATTTTCCGTAAATGATAGCTCTTTCCTCAAACAAGCTATCGACCGGAAAGTGCACCAGAACTCTTTCAGGCGTGTAATGCGCAGATTTTTCTAGAAACGCAATAAGTTTGGACTTGATGTGCTGCACCTCTGCGTCAGTCAGGTTTGCCTTCTTGTCCGTGATCTTGTCTCGGTACATGTTGATGAGCGCGTCGTGGAACAATGAGTTCGTATCGTTCCACGTGTGGATCACGTGCTCTAAGTACGGGATCACAAGGGACTCGTGCTCTCTCAGCAAGAAGTCTAATATCTTCGGACGGGGCAAGTTCTCTATTTCTACTTTATCTTCAGTAAATATCTTCAAGCCTTTTTCTGGGTGTTCCTTCAATATCCAATCAGAGAATTTGAATATTAGGTTTATATGTTCAGCACCTGAAACATGAAATATTTGAGTTTGAAAGATAGTTCCACATTTACGGTGCTCACATCTTATTCAAGTTTCACATACCAAGTTGTTGCAAATAATTTTTCGTTCCTTGGTAACCTTCTAAGCTAGAATCTGGTTCTTTGGCCTGATCTCTAAGCAGCTGCAGCGCTTTCATATGCTGCCCTTTAGTTTGGTACAATATTATTAATTCGCTATATTTTCCATGCTGCAGTAACATCCTCTCAGCTTCTTCGAGGCGACAATTGTTGATCCGTAGTAAAGGTGCAACTAAAGCATCATTTATCTGAAAATTATTCACGAAGTTTTAATGACTGAACGCTGCATTTTTTTTATGAGAAATGCATGAATAATTGAACAAAAGATACAATCAAAATAATTTCATACTCTTTCCTTCGCGTTACTTTCCGTCCACTTTTCGACTCACGTAAAATTGGTTAATAAACAGTGATCCTTACCTGCAAATAACACTTCAACAAGGTAGTATCAATCAGTTCTAGTTGCTGCGTGACATTCCTTTGCTTAGTCGCCTCATCCGGACCAGTGCTGTTCCCTATATTCGCTCTCAACTCCTTCAAGTACATAACCAGCGCATTCAAAGCATTTTCGAGATCTTTTCCAACCAATTTCTTCGGATTATCTTCATTAGTTTTACCGTCTAGTTCAGGGAATAATTTGATGACGTCAGCTGGGTCTGTTTTGAGTTTGATGAATTCTTTCATAGATTGCGAATATTGTTTATTGTCGAATAGTTCTAACGCGTATAGGACTTGTATGGAATGTATTTTCTGTTCCTTTTCTTCTGGTGTGCAGTCTGACAGGCTCTGTAAAATAGAATTATGGTTTTTATTATTACATACGTTTTTGGTCTTGGTATTGGTCCGTATATTTTTTTATATTGTATGTGTGCCCTTAAATAGAACAGAAAAAAATCTCAGTAGTAGCACGGAGTCTGGAATCATATATCCGTATATGGTACGTCCGGTATATGGCAATAGGCTCACTCCCTATTACATGGGACTCATAACATAAATAGTGAAAAGTGGGCGTTACATTGTACAGTGGCATTAAGTGCCGTAGGTAATGTGCACCTCTGCCTACCCCTATGGTCAAAGGTATGAGGTTATGTTAAACAAAACACACAGACGTATCTCCTTTTTCCCAAAAAAATACCAATTATAGTATGGGTAGTAATTTAACAAACAATGTGCACAATGAGTGAACGTTCCATTCAAAAGCGAAAGATACACAACTAAACTTTCCCAAGGCATGATGAGATAGAATCGGTGACGCGACTTGTAGCAGTGAAGGAATTGTAATAGTTTTACGATTTAAAAGCAAAGTTAAGTAAATATTGGTTGGTGCGGTGGTTGGGCAACTGGCTACCGCGCAATGTGTCGCGGATTTGATTCAAATTGTCGAAATCTTTGTGTGATCCGGGTTTGGGTGTCATGTGTATGTGAACTTGTATATTTGTAAACGCACCCAAGACACAGGAGAAAATCTTAGTGTGGGTAAACGTTTAAAAAATACACATTACAGAAAGAAAATCCGAATGCAGATTAATATTTTTTTAAGAAATAAAGATAGAAAAAAGTAGTGAAAGACAAGCATAATTATTACTTTCTGTTTTTGTACACAACAGTAGTTCGTATCACAATAAGCAATAAGAGATATTATTGTATCTATTCGCCACGATGAACGTTTCCTTTCCAATCATAAACTATAAAAATACTTACTCCTATCAAAAGTCCTATTGTTTGCACACGGTCCTTTATTGTAAAAGGCATTTCTATTTATTTAAAGAATCGAGTTTTAATCAAAGGTTTTACATAATTATTATTACGAACTCAATGTGTTGCTAAGTTTACACACACAAATAAACTTAAATATCTTGATGTAAATACACAGAACTAATAACAATAAATATGAAGTAAATAACACGATATAAATCCATTAAAGGTAGCTACTAAAGTGAACCATAATTTAAACTAAACTTGGTTAACTGTTACAGGAAAACTATGAAGTATATAAATAAACAAATGTCACACCTAACTGATTATTCCTCATAGTATTCTCGAATGTGATAATAAATTGTGTGGTTTACAGTGCCCATTATATCATATATCAGCTTTTACAATATATCCTGTTTTTACATTTACTTGACTTTACGTTTCTTACGATTTGTAGCTATTGCAGGTAGAGCTATCAAAAAGAAACTGACATTTTGGACTCCGGAGAACGGCGTTGGCGATAGAATTGTCATCAATAGTTTTTATCGCTAAGTAGTCAAAGACTAATTAATAACTTTTATTATTATATGACCACACATATAGCTGTATAACTAGCTGTGCAATATTTCGCGAGTTCGGTTCCCACGTGGAACAACTCTTTATCTACAAATTACTATTCCAGGTCTTTTTTTAAGAGGGGAAATTCATCAAATTACTGCTCCCGCCTGGGTGAGGCGAGAGGGAGTGTCAGACTCTTACTGATTAAAAACCACCCCGTTCCTTCTCCTGCACGTCGAGCCGGAGCCCCGGTTACCCGTTAGATTCTCCGCGACACTATTCCAGGTCTTTTTTTTTAAGGGGGGAAAATCATCGAATGACTGCTCCCGCCTGGGTGAGGCGGAAGGGAGTATCAGACTCTTACTGACTAAAAACCACCCCTTTCCTTCTCCTGCACGTCGAGCCGGAGCCCCGGTTACCCGTTAGGTTCTCCAGGTCTAGGTGGAATGTGTATTTACACTATATTTGTAAACGCAACCCTACATACCGAATTTAAAATTCGTCAACTAACATTTTCAGAGGCCTTAGTACGAATTTGTTTTACGCTTAAAGTAGGTAATTGTAACGAGTACGCGTTCGGCGCTCTGATTGGGTGGTTCATTAGTGCCGGCCAATCAGATTGCCGAACGCGTATTCGTTTCGAATACTTTAAACGTAAATCAAACTCGTACTTAGGCCTCAGTTATGTATTATGTAATCTGTTAGTCACTTACGCCCGAATATTCAATTTAAGTACTTAAATATCGTGCCATCTCTGTCATTTTACAAAGACTTGGTAGTGACAGAACTATACGACTTTAAATTGAGTGACGTTTGAATATTTGGACATTAAATATATATTTTATATCTTACCGTTAATTCAATAGCTATTTGGAAATGTTTGTCCTTGAGTAGTTGCTGCCTTTGTTTCGTGATGTCCACAGAGCTGAGACACCACACCTGCCCCACTGAAGACACGAATATCAATCCTCGCTTACATCTAGAAACAAGTACTTCATTATTTTATTTCAATACAACAGTGCAGTAGTGTGTTAGCAACATTTTTTTTAAAAGAGAAGTAAGAAGTCATCCTTCTTTGATCGGATATATCAGAAGTTTACTCTTGAATGACGAAAAATGTAACTTTCATTTTGACAACAAAACTTTGTAATTTATTTGAACTGTATTTGATGCTTATGGAATTATTATTTTTACATACATATTACACATTTCTAACTAGATAGAATGACAATATCGGCAGTCACCGAGACTTGCAATGATGCGAAGGGTTGATTTAGCAGTGGCGTGCTATTGAAGAGTACCTATATCCAGCCAGCAGTAGACATGGAATTATTTTCAAAGAAAAAGAGTGTGTTTCCATACTAACCTATACATCAGTCTTGCTTTGTTCAGTTCAGGTAGGGTTTGTATGAACAGGGATGGCTCCACTGTTTGCACTATCACTTGGTCTGATAGCAAACCTAATACATATGGCTCATCCCACACTGGAAACAAAATACACTTTTAAAAAGACTTTTAAAACAATATGCTAGTATACTACGAGTGTAGGTGAACTTATACCAAAGGGATGTAACATTGGACCATATAAATATAGAAGAAAGAAACTAACTACTAACTACATTTTTCATTTTGCACATGCATTTGAAACATTGTAATTATTTCGTTTTCAGTGGAAGCTAGGTATTTGTTTCATACTGTAGATTTGTAAGAAGAACATGCATAACATAATTTTTCATAACTGTCCAATGTTGTCCAAAAAACTGTAGCTAAATTATATTACAAAGTAGAAGTAAAAACCCTTACCAACAGCAATAGGAGCTTCAGACCATTTGATAGTTTTCTTTATATCTATATTTTTGGCTTCCTCCACTAATACGGACGTTTGATCGCGCCCCAGTAGAAATGACGTTTCAGAATATTTCGCTATAGTTGGCTCTAGAGATTTGGAACTGCTTGTTGGAAATAGTTCCTGAGGGTTTCCTGATGCGAGCTAAAAATAATAGGCTATTTTATCAAGGTGTATCAGTGATTAATGGGATTTTGTTGAATTTTACTGTATGAGCTCTATTTCTACTATGTCGTACATACACAGTCATACTACCGTTCGTGCCATGTCTACAAAGAGACGACCAAAATAACGCTAGTATTTCTTGCGAAAACAATATCATTAGTTTCCGCAACCATTAATGTTCGCGCAACTTTAAGGTGAAACCAAGTGAGCTTCCCTCTAAGCAACTGTATACAGTTTGTTACTTATGCGAACATCATGCTCTTTATTCTCCGAACGATAGAGTGTGCTTTGTGCAGTGTAATTACGGAGCAAGCCTATGGGTTATATTTGTAAGCTCAGTGTTATAACTGAGATTTTTTAACTAATAAAACTTTAACCGCCCAGGGAATCGAACCCAAGATGCTATTCTTAACAGTGGCGGCAGAGACAATTCGACCAATGAACCAATTATTAGTCAAGTTTGGTGTAACTAAAACCTTGCTTCGCAAAATTAAACTCTATAACCTACATCGTACAGCACATATTCGGCTTTGAACCCCACGCAAACATATTGCTGGCCCCACGACATGACTTTCGGCACATCAGGTATAGTAAAGTCAAACAAGTGTTGTTTGAATTCTCCATTCTTCCCATAATATAATTGTAATTTTCTTCGCACAGCAACACAGAGACGGACAACCGAATTGGATTCTCCAGTCATTGATGTTGTAGGCTGGAAATAAATGAAAAAAAAATAAGAGTAAGAGCCTTTATAGTTACACACGTTTTTTTTATTTTATAAAAAAATAAACTGCACTTCTCCTTGTTATTATGTATTATGTACTCGTATCAGCTCAATGGGAAACAGGAGTAAGTTTTAATAAATGCTTAGTAAGATTGCAAAAGCAATATTGAGGACCTTTTCCTTGCTTTAATTATTACGTCCAAATATACTGATGAAGTTTTAATATCATTTTTCTATTAGTTTTTAAGTAAAAGTATGAAATCTCAATTAATTTAAGAATAAAGAGCTATAGTGCTCAATAATGTGACACTTACCGTGTTATCTAATGCGAACAGAGAAGCACCTTTGGTTTGTTCAAATGTTTTGACCAATGGAAAATTAACACCGTTTATATTGTATGTAGAGAGAACATTGTCAGTCAAGCACAGCAACAAGTTTTCTTCTGGAAACATAATTCAATTATTATCATTATCATCAATCAAATGAATAATTTCATTTCAAAGAAAAAATACAAATATATTTTGTTAATTATTTTATTGTTTTATATTTTATTATATCTAAGGAATTTTTTTAAGGAGGGAGAACTATCAAATGACTTCTTCTGCCTGGGTGAGGCGGAAGGAAGTGTCAGACTCTTAGTGACTAAAAACCACCCTGTTCCTACTCCTGCCTTTCGAGCCGGAGCCCTGGCAACCCAACCCGTTAAGTCCTCCAATGCTCTGTTTTTTATCCCTAACTATAGCAGATGGTAATTAATGGGTGTATTTCCACAATTAACATTAAATGATTACTGTTATTCAATAAATTTTAAGCTTTGTTTTGTGAGATTTCGAGCAAAAATTATTAAATCATACCAGATGAACAATATTTTATTGCAGAATAAAACCTTTCATATTTTTGGACGTATTGAACTATGATAATAATCAGGCACAAAGATTAATCATATTACAGCTCATTTTAGTCTCTAACTAAATATAAGTACATCATGCAGTTAAATTAAAATAAAAAATAGTTTTTTTTTTTTATTTTCTGTCAAATCTATATCTTTAAATGATGAATCAAAATAATAACACTCACCTGGTATAACTTCTATTTGTTGAATAGGTTTTTTACTAAAATTCTTACAGTATCTAAGTAGCTGCAACTCATATTTCTGATTCCCATTTGTTTGAGACAGTGAATACATCAAGAGATGACCTTGTCTCGTTCCTAATAACAAGTTGTTATCTGAAATTGAAATATAATATTAATGTTTGTCTGATTTGTCATTTTGCTTGGACAAATAAATCTACCAAACAAATAAATAGAATTTGATAGGCTAGTTGTGTTTGTGTGCTTCTTCATGAATGAAAAAATGGAATCTTAAATGTGATCTATGTTACATCTGAGGTTTTAAATGTTTAATCACTTTGATACAGACATTCACACGCTAGTCAATGAGTAAATTAGAACATTGCACTCCGGAAAACTCCACAAAATAATGATAATGCTTTATATCCAACTAGATTATTTGGAAGTGACTCATCTGTTTTGTTTGTATAAATTTCATGTTATTCCATCTATACAGTCTATAGTTTTACATACCATAAGCAGCTATAGCTTCTATTTGCACTGTCGCATTGAGCAAGTGAGATATCTCGTATGCTTCATGCATTTTTAATGAAATATAATATAACGCACTCCTCTATTCGATTACAAGTTAGAACTTTACATCCATAACAATATTTTTTCGCAGAGTAATTGTGTTCACGTAGGTTTCTTTGATAGATCACTACACAATAAACACAAAAATTATATTAACTTTAAATCTACAACACTACACATCCTATTACTTTTAATTATTTTAACGCAACAAAATTGATACCCTCAAGTCAACAATACGTTTTGATTTTGACGTTTGTCATAAGTGGTAATGTCAATGTCACCCACATGATACGAACCGTGTAGTCCCCGAAATAGTCAATACCCTGATTGTGAACCAGGGTAATTAGGTGAGTTAAAAATTCAGAGTATTTGAATATTTCGTTATCTTTCCAATATATGAATACTGATGACTGCTAAAAAAGATATAAAAACAGGAATTATGTTACAGGAATTATATATAACAAAATGAACACAATACACGGTTGACCTCCCCTCGTCATATCGAACCACGTTTTTTCTCTATGGTCTTTATTTTTTCAGTGGCGCGCTAAGCTCAAAAATTAGCTCAAAGGCTTAAAATACTGAGAGCAAAGTAAAGCACACAGAAAAGAAGATGAAATCCACCAATTCACTAACAAAGTATCCTATTAATCCAGTACTTACTATTTTTCGTGTTACTTTACAATCTTCGCTATTGCAGATGACCACTCATCAGAAAACTTGTCATTTGTTTCAGCAGGAATCGAACCTTATATTCACATTCTCATGTCAGCCACAATACGTTTGCACTACTGAAAATAGGCATCTCCCAATGATTTCCAGATCAGTCCATTGCAAGTATTGAAACTTGGAAGCTACCTGCATTCGAAGCAGTGAATAAACTCTTCAATCGGGTAATTGGGTGTATTTATGTAATTACAAATAAAAAGGCATATTTACTATTCATTTAATTATTTACTTTTAATAATTATGTTATTTTCATTCATAACTAACAACGATATGAGGGTTATGAAGTATTTAAATTCAGTAAAACAAATATGAAAACAAAATACAAATTTCACTCACTATTAAATTTAATATTACAGTAATAAGAAAATTTTACTTTAAATAATTTATATAATAAGTCATAACTCCATTTCGAACTATGTATTTTACGGAAAATTCTCATGTTGTAAATGTGCACGCAAATCGTGAAAGTGAGAATTCAGTGGGATAAAGATTTTAATAACATCGCTTCAAATATTCAGGTCACTAGTATGTCTTATAACTTTTTACACAGAGGTCTTAAGAAGCAACGTCGATTACAAAATTCATATTAGATAGATAGACTTAATAAAATACATGTAATATCTAAACTACTGTCTCTTACTGAGTCCGCTGCGGTAAGGTGGCGACACTCGTCACTCCCTCCGCTGCCACCGACACGCGCGCACGCGTCACTCAAGAGTCGTACCATAAAGATAATTATAATATATTTACACGAATTATATGGGTGTTCCAGCAAATTAATAGCCTTAACGACAAAAACTAAGATCCACTATTATGTGATTTCAAAGCGAAGCGCATCTTCAGCGCGCTCATCTTAAAATACAATAATTTATAAGTAATTACAGGCATACCTAACAATGAACTCGATTCTTCACAAAGGCATAGACACGGCGTAACAAGAAAAAGGACCACCTAAACACCGCGACGCCATCAAGTAGAAAGACCGAGTTCAACACTGTCCTGTTGTAACATGGTACACAATCAACAATACGTTATAATTAATTATTTTAATGGTCGGGGCCCTGGTTTAAGCCTAGAAAAACATGAATAATTAATATTATAGTGAATCAGCTAAGCAGTTAAAAATATTTATTAGGTCTCGAATAAGTTTTCGCTGTGTTCTTACAAGATGGGATTAGCAGTATTCTGTGCACGGAAATTGGAATGGCAATGCTCTGGTTAAGAAATTCTGTATTTTGCATCTATATAAAAAATATATGTTTAAATACAAATGATTGACGGTGGTAGGGTAGTCCAGTCAATCATTTGTGTATTCTTACTGATTCCCAGATAGGGACAATGGAATAAAAAGAGATTGCAAGGGTCCAAAGGGGACAGGGAGACAAATAGGGATCGAAATATAAAAAAAATATTAAACTAAAAATAAAAACAGTCTGCGCACCAAGATTATAAGAAATTAAGATATGCTTGATCAAACTTAAAGATACAACAATTTTGAAAGCAAGCCCATAACTCAACTAACCATTCACAGAAACAGGAATTTCAGAGTGTAAACAAACAGTAAAAACTTATTCAAGAACCTACTTAATATGATGAGAATGTAACAATTAACTGTAATATTGATTGCTGTTCTTTCATTAAGTTTTTGGGTCAATCAATATTTTCATGCACAGTTGACATGTTACCATGAGTTGGTCCAAATAAGACTAAAATATAATATTAATATATTAAAGGTAGGTATTTTAAAATCGTGCTCATTTGCCTGAATTTTAAAACACCAGGTTTTTCTAAATAATGGTGCAAGAGGTAATCGACATTACACCAATAAGTTTTGCGTTTAGGCTACTTCTACACCATGAAGAAAAGATTTTGTTAGTCTATACTTATAGGTTTACCTTTCCTAATTTGTAACTGTATTCAAAATCGAAGTGCAAAATGAAATTACTCGAATACTTAAAACTATGACAATGAAATTTACCATTATTTAAACATCGTTTCATAAATGACTACTAATAACCATAGTGTTCTCAATGACAAATTTCATATAATAGAAATATCATTTATTGAATATAGAATACAATATTATCCAAAAACTATGTCGTTATAATTAGGACACCGACAGTGCTATTATTAAATAGGTACATTACATTTATCCAGCATTGGATAATTCAAATACACAGCAAAAAATGTTTAACATAGAAGTTGCCAAAAACAAATATATATGTGTAGTACATCTAAAATTTATACTCTCTGAATTGTTTATACAAATATTCTGAGATATCATATCATTATTATAAATTATCTTGAGAGATCAGTTTACGCTAGTTATAAAAATTTACAATGCGTACTATTGTTGCAACATAATATTCCGTTTGCTAAGTTTCATCGTTGAAATAACACTAGGCATACGCTTCGTAAAAGTTTGTTGAGTTAGTGATACTTTTCAACAATAAATACTCTAATACACTACTGAATATGTCTTCCCTACTGATTACACGGCCCAAGCAAGGTAAGTATCATGTGGCTACCCCTCGATAGGTGATTCAAGTGAAACAAACAGGTGACTAACCTCTCTCTATGATAAAAACGTCTCACACCGAGTACATTAAGGCTACAGTTTATAAGCGAAACCATTTAAAAGAGACAGAATCTGACGAGATTTTAAAATGAAAATAAAACAAAACAATTTATCCAGACGGTTATTATCTGTCGTTTACTAAATAAACATTCAAACTCAGCATATAAGGTATGTACATAAGGGGACAATTTGAGCTTACAAAAGTACAAAGTAATCACATCGCGACGGTTTAGAATCTACAACGGATTTACCCTTCTTACCGACTACGACAGCTCAAGCTTTATCGACAATTACACTACAGTATCACACGATTACTCGCCGAAAACACCTATTATGCATGTAATTTTCCCGATGGCCAACACGAAAGTAACTATCACTAGGTCGCGTGTGGGCTGGAGCGCTGGTCGTGCGGCGCGAGGTCCCGACGTGGCGCGCGGCGCGGCGTCTAGGTCGCGCCCGCCGCGGCGCCGCTCGGCCCGCCCGGCCCGCCCGCCTCGCCTGCACACACACACGTTAGAGGCCGGCCGCCGCCTACGCGCGCGGCTCGGCCGAGCAAGTACCTGGCGCGTCGTCCGCCGGCGCCGCGCCCGCCGCTGCGTCGGGCGCTGGGCCCGCGCTCGCGCGCGGCTTCAGGAAGTCGTTGAGCGACGGCTGGATGCTGAGCTCGTACTCCGTGAAATTGAACAGCGGCGGCAGCGGGCGGCCGTTGGGCAGGCGCGCGGCGGGCTCGCGCAGCTCGTCGAAGAAGCTGTGCGCGCAGGCCTGCAGCGGCGACAGGCGCGCGCCCGGCGTGTACTCCAGCAGCCGCGACACCAGCGAGATCGCGTCCGGCGGCGTGCACGCGCGGAACACCTGCCACACACAACCTCACTGTACTACCGCACTGCGGACGCTACACCCCACGCAAACAAATCATTATGTTAGCGACTGAAAGTATTCTTGTCTTTTCAGTATTACACACTCAAAATATAACGCTAAATATTTACAATGTTAATTGTTAGGAAACAATGATCGGACTTTTATGACAATAACTGTGATTTAGTGGAAGTGTGGTCTTCAGAAAACTTAAAACACATTTTTAACAAACCAGTATCCACTTGAGAACTGATGCACTACTGACTTTACACTACATCAATTTTATCTGTTTGCTTCATTTGATGATTTTTTAAATCATAATTGAATTGAATTTCAAACATTCTAACTTTGGTTAGAGGATAATGATATCCTAAAATTTGTTTAAGTTTTCGGAAGAAGCTCTGGGAACCTAATTTTAAATAACAGAAGTAAATGATAAGTGCCACGCTGCAAGTTCGTTCCTGTAAGAAAATGTTTGTTTTAATAAGAAAAAAGAAGCTTATAAAATAATAAATAGTTTTAGAACGTGAATGTGAGAAACAAACTGGCACAGAGTCGCACAATACGAATGCACACTGAACACCAACAAACAAATTGCAGTAAGAGACAGCTTCTGATTAGTTTTATGTGGCATTCTGTTCAACTCATGCCGCGGCTATTTTCAAGTTCTAAATCTACTCTAAATGTCTTCATTTTTGTAACCTGATTTGGAGGATTGTAGATATCATTTGACTGTAAAGACATAAGCATTGTTGTAGTACGATTAATATAATGAAGGCATCTAGATAGCCCGCAGAGCGATATCTTACTCGGATGCGCTGGTGGTCAGTGGCAGACTTGGGCGTGGACATACGCTCCAACATGAACTGCAATGACGCGCGCTTTTTAGTCTCCTATGTCATGCTTGTAAAACACAATATTTTTAACTGTAAATAACCAGTAGTGACATCCTCTTATATGATTTCGATACTTATAAGGTGTAATTGGTCGATAATGATCATCACGCAATATGAACTTGGCAAATATGTTGAAAATTGTTGGAAAGAAATTGATTCAAAAATTTACCGAACTACATAGTTGCTACACAGTCATAACTCATTTGTGCAACGCTTGATTTGGTATAGATAACTTATAATTGGATTAATTTTAATATTATCGGAATTGTAGTCAACCAATTTGCACAAGCGAGTTTGGACTTCGTTTTTACAAAATGAAGGTCTTACAACTGAATTAATTGACCAGCGTCTCAGAATTCGACAACCATAATAAATAATTTATGTAATATGTAAAACACATCAATATTTTTAAAGAAACAAGTAAATGAATGAAGGTAATCCTTAATTTAGGGTTCCGTAGTATATTCCCGCAGTACATGCCCGGACGCGCGACCTGAAGTTAAATTTTGCTGAAACTAAGAAACAACTATAGTGTTCTTGCATTGGAGATTATAAAATATAGAATAACCAAAAATAAAAAATAAGTAATAAAAAACCCCAAATAATTTGGAAAATAGACCAAATGTTATATTCATCTTTATTTGCCCGGTTCCGATTTCCGAATGGCTACGGAACCCTTACTCACGCAGAATCACGATACGATAATTGCATATCCACATAATGTATAAAACAAGAAATTAAATAGATAACAGGATATTTTGATTAAGATGGAAAACAATTGGTTCTTTAACTTCTAAGCAATTTTGGTCTGTTATTGTTAAAATTTTAATGTCTATTCATTCATTAAATTGATTTCCTAAAATCAGTATGTTGCCAAAATCAGTATGTTGCTGGATACGTAACGCTTAAAATTTTGTGAGTTTTCAAGGTTTCTGACTTTCGAAAATGTATAATTTCTATCTTTGAGCTATTATTTATTAGATATTATGCTCGATACATGATTCCGATGGCTATTATAGGCGCCATAAGAAATATTAGATGAAAGAATACAAAGGCATATTATACAAGTTAATAGTAGTAGTACACAAAACTTTACCTTAGCCCATGGGTGGCTCTTGATTTGTGGGAATTTGAATTCTGTATAATTAGGATTCATCTCTCGATTTGTTCTCGTGTCGGTGTACCTAGTACCTATAAGAATAAAATTGATGTATTAGAAAGGAATATTTTAAAGTACATAATTATAATAATTTAGTAAGTATTCGTAAAATATTTACCTTGATAATCTCAACCAACTGATCAACACCAGAATCACCTGGGAATATTGGTTGACCCAATAATAATTCCGCTACTACACATCCAGCGCTCCATACGTCTGTGGAAAATACGATTTAATAAATTAGAATTATGCTCACACCTATGTTATTGCTACCCTAGTCGTAACACCCTATACTCTTCCTCTAGATGCCGTAAAAGCCGTAACATGCTTACGGCACCTAGAGGATTATCACATCGGACACAGACTGTGCAGTAGCGTTCTCTAATAAACCCGAGATAATGACAAACCCTCCTATGTAGATGCCATTAGTCCAGCAGTGGACTGTGATGATGGTGGTGACGACTGTGTTCTTGCATGAAACAATACTTAACAACAGTAATAAGCCCGGATAACGCAAGAAAGGGATGTGGTATATATTGGCACAAGTATCTTAAAGATTTTTGTCATGAGCTTACAATATTATGTTAGGTGAATGTTAGAGGTTGCGCAGGTATGCTATTTAGCATATCATTTACTAGAAACAGCCAGATATCTTTTAGGAGAAGTGTAGGTTAATTACATCTTAATGTTCAAGAGAATATCAAAATGACGAGTTTGAAGGCTTTGAAGTAGGCTGAGTTCAGTTCATTGTAATGTATCAGGAGACAAATCTGTCTGAAAGATGAAGTCATATGTCATACTCATACATTGTTGTTGCAAAGGTTGGTAGAGAGCAATGATCGCAATCAATGGCAATGACAATTGTACAAAGGAGTCCTGTATCGATAGCATCGGAAGGCATGTTTTACAAATCTGGGGCCAGATAACAATTTATCCATCCTTACAATACAACACTGGTAGCGTGTTGATCTATATCAGACATTTACGTTTGTTAGTCATTTTGGTTGCTACTGCGCAGTTCTGAAGCGAGAACTTCGTGTTTCAAATGAAATCACTATCACAAGACTAGCATGTACAAACAAAATGAAACATATTATTAAAAGAATGTATGAAACACAATAATTACCGATTTTGGTGGTGTAATCTATAGCGCCAAAAATGAGTTCTGGAGCGCGATAGTATCGGGAACAAATATAGGACACGTTAGGCTCGCCACGAACGAGATGTTTCGCCGAGCCAAAATCGCAAAGTTTGAGTACGCCGGTCTTAGGATCAAGGAGTAAGTTCTGGGGCTTGATGTCTCGGTGACAGATGCCCAGCGAGTGAATGTACGCGAGGCTTCTGAACAACTGGTACATATATAGCTGAAAACATTCATATATTAGTCTCACATATTCAGCAAAACATACATATTATTATGTCCGCGTGTGAATCCACTTACCTTTATAAAACTAATGGGTATGGTTTGTTCATCTTTGGAGTAGTGACGTGCCACTTTATACACAGTCTCAGGTATATACTCCAGCACCAAATTCAGGTACACTTCGTCTTTCTGTAATGAAAAATTAATTTATAAGGAAAATATTTTTATGCAATAATCATTAAACATCAACTTGTACTTGATAACAATGAGATATTTAAGTTGCAAAATTCGTTACATTGCTTCGTTCGCAGAAAAAGTATTAAAAAAGAGATAAAAGTATATAATATTTAGGGATAAAAATAATGTTTAAGGCCATCAACGTTTACTACAAATAAAATATGTAAATATGAAAAGACAAATATTAAAAAATACGATATAAACACAACTAACGCAATAGGAATACTTTTCCATTGTGTAAATAACACTTTGGAAAAATATATAGTAAAAGAAAACTGGTGCAAGGAATGTCAAAACTGGAAATTTTGGAGCTTTCCCGAACTTGGTAGGAAAGTTGAAAAATAACATATAACAAGGCGAGTAAATTTCAAAGTTGGCTTTTGTCCAAAGGTTTTTGGCTCTAGCCATACACAACTCTGATATCTACCGCTGAAACTCAAACCTTGAACTACACACGCGAAAACACAGGTGTTCTAAAAATTTATACATACAAAAGTAGCAAAACACACTCGTGTATTTTATTTTTTCGAATTCATCAGTACTAATCTGTTCAGTGAATAACCTTCACGTGCATCTTGGTCAAGTAAATAGATATGGCAGCTACATTTGCCTTGACTGATCTTAATTTTTTAAATGTCCTTTCTATGCATATGGTGAGTCAAGGTTTATTTCAATATTTAGCACGCTACACTATTTATCTGTAATTCGTATCTGTATTTCGACCAATATTTGTTTTATTAATGAATGTAACTACGTCACAAATAGGTAGGTGAGATATATTAAGGACAAGTTCGAAGCAGACATTACTCTAAATATATACATCCGATCTAATTGATTGTTTTCACCAGATGGTAAAGAAACATTCTCAACATTTTAGTGTGCGTGTAAATGCGTTACAAAGACTTTTCTGTTTTCACAGGCGAGTGCAAAATAAACCACGTACATGGCAATGAAACACTAAAGCTGTCTGTAAGAAAACAAAATGTATCAAGCAAGCATCAGTTAAAATCATAGAACACATCTTATATGACGCAATACAGAACAAGTTAAGTATATGAGATGATGATGGAAGAACATTGTGGGCATCAACCTGATCAGATGTAGAAGCTCATGGCTGAAAGATTACGGCTCATGACGTGGTTAAGACTTGCTCTCAACAAATCATGTATGCACACAACTGTTTGACAGGCCTGAATAATATAATTACCGACCGATATTTTTTCATTGCATAACTTACTCATGTGCAATATTTACTGAAAAATATTGTTCGGTAATTGTAGCCTGCATAGGAAGGCCTAATTTGTGCGTTAGCACACTAGCGCAACAATCTAATTGATTCATAAACGTACTGCGACATCAAGAGACTGCATTGCGTTTAACATTGAGCTCACTGCTGCGGGCACTGCCGCCTTCCCCCAAATAAAACACACAAATAATACACCCTTAATAAAGCGGACTAAAAGTAACTTGATCACATCATAATACAAAGTAAATCAGTTACTCATATTGAAGAAATAGGGCTCAAAGGAGATGTCTCATATTACACTAAATATTTTTCTATGAAAATCATTGCATCGTAACGATAAGTACGTGGTCCAAATAGTACACCTAAATGATGCGCATAAGCAAGAACTACCAGCACAAACCTAACATTAAAACAAAACAAAAAATAAACAATATTATATTAACCAGACAATTAAGCTAAATGAGATATCTCCTTTCTAGTTTGTAGACCCTTGGATACATATTATAAATAGAGGGTTTCATAGTGAAGTGGGTCCAAACCAGAAGTTAGATCCAAAACTACAAGAAATTAAAATAGTCTAGAAAATTATTAGACACATAAATAAATAGATATAAAGGTACAACAATTTACATTGAAAACACTCACCTTTTCTCCACTGGAGTAAAAGAAATATTTCAATTTGACAATATTACAATGCTCCAGTCGTCGCATGATTTGAAGTTCTCGGTTCTGTAATGTAAGACGTTATTAGTAAATTAACAATGTCCTACTAATATATTAATAACTTAGAGGCGTAACATGCCGAGCACGCCAGCTATGCATGCATATTAACAAGTGTTTTTACACAATTGAACTAGTTTTGAATAGTATATACTCTACGATATAATCAATGAGATGTTTTATTATGATTGAAATGGAAATAGCTAAAGTATTTCCTTTCATTGAGTAATATAATCTATACTTATAATAAATCTGTAGAGAGGTCAATTCTGTACATAAAATATATTTAAAAAATAACTATCAAGGGGTGGTTAGGGATCGCTACTGATGCCAAAAATGCAATCAGTACAATTTTTGTCTGTCTGTCTGTCTGTCTGTATGTTCGTTATGGAAACAAAAACTACTCGACGGATTTTAACGAAATTTGGCACAATTATTCTTCATACTCTTGGGCAGGTTATATTATACTTTTCATTACGCTACGATCAATAGGAGCAGAGCAGTGAAGGGAAATATTGGGAAAACGGGAGAAGTTACTCCATTTTTTAAGCTTCCGTCGCGTGTGCAGGCTTATAGGTTAAAGCTGCATAGAAATCATGTATGACGGAAATATTCTCCTTAAAATTATATAAAAAATATTCCTCGACAGCATATGTCTATCTTTTATGGTTGACTCACAATAACACCTGAAACTCCCGATAGCTTAGCAATTCGGTGATTTCTGCTAACGTTTACAATACTCATTCATAGACTTTACGCTGTAACTGAAAGGCCAATGATTGAAATTAGCTTGACTCGATATTAAAAATGAAAATATGTGAGTTTATGTGTATGTTTGTTACTCAGTCATATTAAAACCACTGAAGGGACCGGAATGAAATTCGGAACAGAGGTAGATTATGGTCTGAAGTGATACATAGGCATTTTACCGCTGGGATCGCGGGCGAAGCCGCTGGCAGAAACTAGTGAGTGAATAAATATAGATGGTAAAGGTAATTGCACTAGACTTACCTTAAACCTCTTATCCTGGAGCACCTTTTTGATGGCAATAAGCTCGCCGGTGTCGCATAGTTTGGCTTGATAGACGACGCCGAAGCTGCCGTTTCCGATGAGTTTCATGTCAGCATAGCTCACCTCCTGTGGCCGGTCGGGGCCTTGCCCCGGCGTCGCCACCACAGTCGTCACCTTTGAGCCGTCCTTGCCTGAAAAATGATTGAATTCCATTTTAAATACTTCATTTGAACATAAAGAATTAGAGTAAAGGATGTTTTCCATCTTATGTAACAAATTATTATTTTAACCAAAATAATTCCAGTTCGATAAATTAAATCGTGCTAGCTAATCTCATAGAAAAACAGAATCTAAAAGAAATTCTAGCACTATTTGAATGGCCTCTCTAATGCAATTGAGTGGTGCGGTGACGTAAACGAATCCATTTCACAGACGGTAATAAATAGGTGGCGTAAGCGTTGCTGGACGAATCATTGTAATTTACTTCGTAACAAAGTATCCAAACACCAGTAATTTCTATATACGAGTTAAAAGACTTTCAAAAGAAGCAATTCTAGCCCATTTGTAAGAGATTTCACTAGATGAGTAAGAAAAACTAACCTTTCGGGTTTATGTTATTATTTAGAGTATAAGTATTATTACGTCTACCATGATCCATCAGTTTTTATTTTTTTATGAGTTTTTAATGAATTACAATTTATCTAAAAATAAATCATTTTTATAATAAAAATCTTGGCCGTCTAGATCATTTTTGTGACAAGGTTACAGACAATTAAAACCGTGCAAGTTGTTCTTGTGTAATTAACTGTCAGTCCACGCAGTTTTAACTAAACTGTCTTAAAGGGCCGGCCTTTAAGACAGTAAAAACCAAAAACTATATTCGAATAAGACTGGACATTTTTGAAGCAAAAATAAATCTGGAACTAAAGATTTAGTTACGGCCATATTCTAAAACAATATAAAAAAATGTAATATGTTTTTTTTTTGTAATAGAAAACAGCTGATCTACGTCGAGAATTTGTCACGGAATAAAATGATGTTCTTGTTTGCGAATAAGCACAATTTATCACAAGGTTGAAAAAACTTTTACGAGAAAAGAGCAGGTGCGGCATGCGACACGGGGTTAGACGCATGGCACATTTGTTTACGCTTGGGTAACTCACTTCAGAGTACCACGACTACAACCAGAGAGCGAAATATAGATTTTGGACACAAAGGAGCCGGACGAATTGAATGCTCACGTTAGCGGAAATCATTTGACGTGGCTCCTATTTAATATGGTAATAGCCGCGTAGATTTGGTATCCTATGTGCGGTTATACATATTACTAGTAGTAATAAATTGACGAGAAACTTATTGCTACTGATATTAAAAATATGAATAACTAATGTGCAATAAAAAAATAAATAGATCAGTAAATACTAAATACATAATAGGTATCTAACGCCTTTCTGTGAATTGGTTTCGAACCCTTATTCGCTTCCCAAAAGATCTGGGACCAATTCCTATGATCCCAATTCTAGTTTTATGATAAGATCGTAAGTTTTTATACCTTGAAGTTGATGGTTAGAATTGTTAAAGAGCAAACCTGAGTGGGCAGACGTCCAAACGACGATTAGCGATTGTTGCTTGTTAATTTTATAGGTTTTAACAAGCATTTAACGTATTGGCATGCGTTAAATGCCTTAAGCCTTCACTTTGAAGTATACGATAGGAGTTAGTTTAGTAGCAATGATGAAAATGTAGATAATATCGTGAATGATAAAATACTAAAATGACATTATCGATATCCTTCTACACAGTATCACAAGTACACATAAGTATTTCACTATACCAATTACCAACGAAAGTAAAATTGACAATGTTCATACTGATTGTAAGTATTTATAAGCATCGCAATAATACGTAGGTTTTATATTGAGTCAATATAAATTAGTAATCAAGGGCTGACTGTTGTTGAATTCTGACTCGCAAATGATACTACTGGCTTCAACATTGCCTCACCTGTCCATCGCTCAGTGCAAATACACCTGTACTTTTTTACTTTTGAGCAAGGCCACCACTCCCTATGCATTTGGTACGGCCAAGGACATAGGTAAAATACCTTTCAGACTTATGGAATGCATCAAGTTAAAACACTAACTGTTAAATTATTATCAAAGCATCAATTAAGGTCAAATACAATGACGTAACGACACGGTTCATTATTTAAACAAGCCAAGACACCAGTTAATAATCTGCACTGTCTTACTAACCAATGTTCGTTATTAGGTAGTTACTTTGGACTACCTCACTGCAGCTGTTTATCTTAACATGAAGGTATCACGTATCCATAACATCCGAATGTCTACGTGGGAATTACTATTACTAAGGAGTTTACAACGTCTATTCCATAAAATATACTGGCAACGTACGTTGTTTTCAAAACGTTAGCTACTTCGTCATTTAATTAGTAACAGCTAATTAAAATATCGTTACCGAGTACTCGGTTGAGTTCTCCTGTACTGGAACGTATTGTTAACATTTCTGAAAATATTATTACAATTCTGCAAAATGTACGTAACGAAACATGGGGATCCCGCTGTGTTACAATCATTATAAACCTCACATTGAATGAATGATTAATTATTGGAGATTCAATAAGTCTAATAAAAGATTAGGACACCGAAAAAGTATTTTAAATCACCGGTTATTTGTACAAAGTAGGAAAAAAGCTATTTCCTATTTCGGTTCAGACAGCTAAAATCGATAAGTTGCAAAAATTCAGATTTACGTTTGTACTGACCTCGATAGTCTCTGCAGTCTACGACATGTTTGGCAAATATTTAACGTGACCTATCCCGTTTCTGTTGACATGCCTTACCTTAATAAGGCAGACTGGTCGCTTAGGACAACATCATTTGTAAGAAGTGAAGTGTAGTGGTGAACTACTACAATATTATCTTGAAAATTATTTTAACAATCTGTGTGTTCTAATATGTGTCATTAACTGAAAAACTGCTTTTGTAGAATAAACATCACTGACGTCCACTACTTATATGTTGATCGATACTTAATACGTAAGCCACTCTTCCACGGACGACTGCAGTGATTAAAAATTTCTAAGGTAACTATTCAATTCTCAAATGACCGGCTTTTAACATATAGGCAACTCGTATGTACGTCATTGCACGAATGCAACGAGTACATATATGAGCATTAACAATAATATACAATGTAGCAAATGGAGTATATCAATCATGCCCACCTTGAAAGAACTCGGGACATATGCTGCCCTGCCACACCCTTAGCAACCCTCATTGACGTAAACCCAAGCACACTCCACCCTTGTTTATCTTTATCGGCTTTTTATCTAACTACTTTTATTTCTATAATTATGTATGTATTTGAAGGTTCGTAGTATATTTCTAGTTTCATTTGATAAAACAGAGTTGTATTTTAAAGTCATACGTTTTACTCCTATTTTTATCGTTACTCCAGCAACATAAATAGTCACATCTGGTTAAAACCACAAATTACCTTTAACACTTTCAACAAAGCATTTTCACACGTTTAAGATTCATATTTTAATATATATTGCAATGGTACATAACGCGTAGCGTGCTAGTGTGAATTTATTTAGAACACGAGCATAAATATATTAGAAAGTAAAGACGAAGGTTCGTTAAGCGCAGTTTGCAAGTGCAGACGTTCACGTGTCCACAAATAGGAAGCAAAGCAATACGGAAAACAATTTACTTATTCCGCAACAAACTAAATAACAGTCTCACAAAAGATTTTTTTGAAGACTTCACTTAATTTCTTTGCTCTATCGCTACAATTCAAACCAATTTCAATTGAAACTACTTATTTTAAACCTTGGATTCTCGTGATAATATTATAACTATTTCGAACTGAAGTAAATGCCAACACCCAAACACGTATATAATCAATCTCGGCCCTGTGGTAGTTCTATTCTCCCATTTCCACATTAGCACAATATACGGCGTAATTTTTCTACTACAAAAGAGTAACTTGCATGCTTAGAATATTTCTAACCATAAAGACAATTTTAAGAGGAAATAATAGGATAAGTATAAAATATAGGAAAAATATTATTATCTACAAACATCGACTATCCATGTACAAAAAAATCTGGAAGATGAATGTGCATTTATTAATTTGCTACGTGTCATATAAAAATTACACTAAAAAGCTTCTTCCACATTGAGTGTTGAACACGTTACGTGGCAGATACGATAAAAATATTGATATGACATAATACAGTAAAATTACACAATATAATATACCGTACTATTAGAACAATTAGGCATCTTTCTTTTTGTAACTTATAAGTAAACCTTTAACTTACTTTATTACACTGTAACTATTTAGTTAGAAAGGAAGCAGTTGTAAACTAGAAATAGCATAAATTGTTGAATTATTTCTTTGGATAATGTCTCACCTTGTACATCACACAGTGTTCAATTCGATCGTGTCAAATTAAGAATATCGAAGAACCTATTAAAGTAGAACGCAGGGGCAGGTCGTAGTAACCATTTCAATGTGTCTGACAGTCATAACAAATATTATAAACCATACAACCAATATTTTTGAACGTAGGAATAATAAAAATACATCGTACTTTACTGTACCTATATAAAAGTTAAAACCATTGGTGGAATTTATGATCATGTTAGTAAATGATTCACGGTATAATAGCACCTGCAGATTAGCGTGCTATGTATAAATTGAATTAATCATAATAATGAATGATGAGGTAGTCTGATATAGAATAGGCCCTTACCGCAAGAATGGATATGTTATTGTTTAACACGATAGCATGATGTTATCGGTTTAATATTACCCCGAGAATAAAACGTGAAGTGAGAATTCAATCGTACGACAAACCCACGCATATTATAAATAAATATCACAAAATATCTTAATATTAATAGAATAAAGCCTATTTAAGTAATTGCAATTAGAAAAAGACGTACACCCACATGATCTAAAACATCACAACATCAACAAACAGGACAGACAAAACGAACACAGACAAGAAATGATAACATGTAAATGATAAGTTTAGTCACATTGCGATTATTCTCCATTCCATCATTTAATCGGACGAATAATATTGGTATACAGGAAAGAATGGAGGATTCTCGCTAGTCCAAATTAAATAGTATAGTGGTGGTGACAAACTAAACATAACCATCACTACAGCCGAGCTAATGTGCGCGAAATCTAACACTTACGATGCGAAGACGCTGTTTTCTTTTCCGAAGCCAGCTCGTTCTTTTTAGGAGTATCCACGTCGCCTGCGTGTCGCAGCAAAACACAAAAGCAGCATTAGAACATTGGTGATGAACATACAAATACATGATGCAACGATAATATAATTACATTGCCACGAATTTATTTTACATAGTGCAAATACTAAGTGAGATGAATACAAACGAGAATAACGTAACATCGGTAAGGTAACAAATTCACAACGACAGACGAGAATATTTGCTCTCAAGACACTCACTGATGGTACGTCGAAGTTTTTTACAGAAAGATGAGAGACGATCACGGGCACGGCTTAATTGACCACTTTTTTCCGTATCAAGTAACCGAAGTAGCGAAGGTTCGGATCGGGCGGCCACTTCTCCTACGGGGCGAAGAGCCACCGTAGCGGGACCTTCGGAAACTCCTAAGTTGTCGAAGCATACCGGCCCTGCGGAACACTCCAGTTTGGCAGAGGATCGCACGCGAGCGCGCGTTGTGGTAGACTGCCGGCCGTAGGCGCGGGGACTAAAACCGCCGCCCCGCCCCGTAGAGGTCGAGCCTCGATACTACAGCATTGTGGTGCTAATTCAATCTTCGCGACTAAATACTCTCCAACCACTTCCAACTGTCGTCGTCATAAATGTCATGAACATCAAAAATTAAGAAAAATACAAATGACTTTGAAGTTTGAAGTCAAAGGTAAATTATCAGTAATAGTTCTCATGATCGTTAACCCCAAATCAACAATTCCCGTTGTATATTGTAAAATAACCTAAAAAAGTTGTTAAGGAACAAAACATTCATAACTTACATTAACTGCATGATTTAATCAAATTACGTGCTAAACATTTAACATGCAGATTTTTCATTTGAGGTTTGAGGTTCAATGTTTATCTTTTGACTTGATCTGCATTATCAATTATTTCACGTGAATAAAAATCATGAAAATTATTTAAATAACTCAAACACGCAGTTATTGTTGTCGCATTTGAACTCTATCAGTATCACATCGCATGCGCGCGTGTCTACCTTTTTATGGAGCCGGTGATAATTTTGATGTGACGTCACACACTCCGAACTCTAAATAATTCTCAACTTTAAATGGCCGTGTACACATAATAACAACGACAAACTGGTGCACTACATGGCTAAGTTCCCTATGCAAACACAATAAATTAAACGTCAAAGTACGTCACTGCATCGCACGATTCACTCAATTCTTACACCTTGTTGATGATATACATTATGTTGTACAATGCAGGCTTATAGATGAATAGAACAAGGAGGTATTCGTCTACACTTAAACAGTTTTCCATATTTATATTATAAGGTAGTTGGTACCTACTACCTATTTATTCATAACCGACGATGTTAGCCGTATTTCAGTGTTTTGTTTATTAAATAAGGAAATGGTACCTGTCTGTCTACCGCTTGTATGGTAATTCTCAATAACCCATATCCATGAATTGGGTGAAAGGTGCTCTCTAAAACACATATTTCAAAGGTAAGACTGTTGCTCCTTTGTCAGTCCTAGCAGCGCACGTTTAAAATGGTGGCAATCCTGAAACGTTTAGAGAGCATAGGAGCAGAATAGCATTACAATGTTGATATACGTGATCTAGAGCTGGGAAGATCGGCTGGAGACAGTGAGAGCGATGTCTCGAGTCGGGATTAAGGAATTTAATATTATCCCAAACTTTGCCCTAGTATAATTAATAAGGTCATTTTATTATTACACAACTATACATGTAACTGGTCTGGTATGACCATTTAGTTAGAAATTAAACATTGCGGACAAATATTGATTCGTTGTTAATAGAAGTAATTACTAATACAGCCAATAGGCAAGTATATAAATACGCTAATAGAATTATGGTTGTCATGGACTCGCGGCAATTGGATTAGAACTTTTGGCGGAGTTTGTTGGGTTCTCCGCACGTGAAGGGCCTCGGGACTACGCACTTATCATCAGATAGGATTCCACTTGCATGCAACAAATTGATTTTATGACATTAGTTTATAGATTACAATATCTAACCCTAGATCTATTGAACTTATGAAACGTGTATATGTACACATTCATTTTAATATTGACATAAAAATACTCCTAGTTACCATCAAAGTGCGTCTAAATCTGGCCTTGGATATACCATTACATATACTGCATTCTATCCCATTTATTTTGCTACTAATACGTAACTTCTACCAATGTTACTGTAATTGTCACCCTGTGATTAGTGGTCATCAAAAAGTGCTAATTGTCCGTTACTCATAGAAGCGAGAAAGCATTTTGCACGCGTTATTTATTATTTTCTATACCTGTTAGAAACTTCTATTTATAATCGTCCTTTATTCTGTAGAATCGATTTAAAATTTCGTGATACTAAATTAAGTTAGTCGATTACCTCGCTCTACGCTCTCATATGCATAAAGTAACATCCAAAATTACAATTCATGCACGATTTATCTAATAGCAATTTCAAATGTTTTTATGTAATGGTAATTGAGTGGCGATCTTTAAAACGCGATGTCTACATGCAAGTATAGTAGCGCTAATTTACTTCCGCAGTAATTCAACTTGCACAGTGGAAAGTGAAAGAAAGTTGGAGGCGAATACAATTTTATAGACACGTTTTTAGGGTTGTGCATGCAGCGGAACCACAGCACTAATGCCAAGACACCTCTGCTGTCTGAGTGCTAGCCTGTCTACTTAGTGGATGAATTCGAAGAAAATGAATAAACATAAAAAATCAATGGGTTACCAATAGACTGAAACTCATTTATGTTGCTGCCTCATTTTGGTGGATGCCATTACTTTATTCCATTTTTGTTTGTAGTAGTAAGTAATCTAAGTACGTAATACGTATCGCTGTTTACAACAAATTGAGATTTACAGCAATTTAGAAATAGCTAGATTAATGTTTTATTGCTTCCATGGCGATTAATTTAGTTAACTACAACCATGCGACTCTCGCTGCGCATAACAGACTCAGTTGTAACTACGCATAGGTATGTGGAGTGCACAACACCATTGTTCTTGTAAAGTGACACCGTGTTTGCGGTTCTCTACGCTTAACGCGCACGCTCTCCGTCTCTGAATTCGACCAAGGCCCTATTGTCGCAAGAGACTAACCGCGGATAATGGGGGAACCGGTCGTGCCAGCTTTATGACGCATCGCTCACCTTATAATAAAATGCGCCTTCATGTTACTAAGCTGTGTAGTCTTACTGATGTTCTTATTGGAATTGGAACAGCCCTACGTGAAGTGCTGGTACATACATTTATTGATATTTTTTATAATAATTAAAATTGATGACAAAGTGGACTGTCATTCTGTTTATATAAAAAGGTGAAACGCATTAGTTATAGCATTCTTATTTTAGTGTAGAACTTCACTTACACTTAATTTGTTTTACATTAGTGTCACATTACTGTTATAATAACGATACACAGTACATTAATGTACATAACGTACCTTATTGACCACCTATTATTATATTAGGGATACTCAGCTTCAATTATGTTATACATAGATTTCTAGATGTTTTAAGACTTAATAAAAAAACATTAATTTGCCTTTGTATGGTAAACACTACGATTTTCTGACTATACGCTCTAAAATCAATCAATCGAGTATCAATACGATACCCTCTAAATATTTTATTAGTTCCAAATTGTTGGAAACAGCTTTATTTGTCGGTAAGGAAATTACGTCTCAAGGACCGAACAACACTTGCTTACACATTGAAATCACGGAAAATGGGAATCTAAAACAATAAGGATAAGTTCATTTGTTATTTATAAATGTTGCTAGACAAGACAATATTGACTCCTTTTGAAATCAAATATTTCATAAATACTGCGTATATTTTTCTTATCGTAGGTAACAACTTCTAAATTCTTATGACCAGTTTTGAATAAAATTTATTGGTGTTATAAAAAATAGAAGAGCATTCGTCAGCTTTTTTTTATAAAGTTCGGTTTAAGATTCTGTTTTCTAATTATATCTCTGTCATTTACCTATCTAACGGGTTAAATCTGGGCGAATTTCCAAGGTAGACCATGCTATGACGCTTTTAACGAATAATCACCACTTTTTGTGTTGAAAAAAGTAAACACGCGTAATTGTATATGTTAGAATGATTCCGCTTCATTCACAAACAACAAACAAGTAAGTAGGTGGGTAAAAGATTTATGATAATGATTTTGTAAACAATTATGCATATTTTACTCCATGATAAGATTCCTCCTTTTCTTGAGTTCTTTATAAACACTAATCTTACGTACCTAATTAAGTACCTACATCGGAATGTTATCCAGCCACACCCGGAATCTTTAACTTTGAATCTAAACTAGTGGATTCTTTTATACTTTCATAGGTATTCATCCCAAGCGGGGATCGAAATTTCAACACCTCTGGTCAACTGTCACGTCAAAATATGCGCATTTATGTATTGCGTAATAAGCCATGGTCTGATAGAGAACATAATTAAACACATTCGAACACAAACTCTACTCTTCTAGTAAATGTACGATGATCTGAACAAAGAACATGCTTGTAGGAGACTACGGAACGGTCTCAATTAAGCAAGTTGTGCAAATTATCCAAACAATTGTTAACTCTACATTGTCAAATTCGCTCTAGAACTAAACACATTTATATCTTTCTTATCAGAATAAGTAATGTTATGATATTTATTGTTTTATAACACAATATACAATTTAATTATAGGTAACAATAATTTAGCCTCATCGGTGACAATTATAAGCACGTAAGTGTACGTGTAAGCTTATAATTCTGTGTAGGTATCAAGTTAAAAAACCTAAACACTGAACTTCTGTTGGATACAAAATGTATTAAACTTTAACACCTTAGTTAATACGTTCCATGAATATGAACGAAGTTGGATAACAGCAAGCGTACCACATCATCTCATCTCAAGTAGTTTAACTTGGGAAATGACCTTTATCCCTGGTACGACGTAAGTTAATTACGGAGTGATTAGATATTTGATATCTCGGCTCAGAGGTTAGTGGTTATTATAAGTAGTTATGAGGAGTCACTTTAAAAGTAAAATAAAACAACGTTCCTAGGTTCCTACGCACTTTAACATACCGGTGCTTGGTCGGTGGTGGATTTAAAACAATTGCATTGTTCTGTTATAATAAAAGAGAAGGATTTACAGTAGAAACTGACTTTCCAAACAAATCCTTAGTAGGCGGAGGCGGCAAACGATACTCTTGTAGATAAAGTTATACAAGTTATACATATCTAGACTTTTTATCAAGATATCAATAAGATTTCATACCAAACGTCACTCACTAGGTAGTCCTACTCTTGATAACATTTCGGCAATTGTAGTTATTTGTCAAATGATAAATGTTGTTACCTACCAATTTTTTTTGTAACCAACGTAGAAGGTTCAGGTGATTTAACTCTGCTATGCCGATTATCAGGATCGGCATTAACAGTGTAAGTCCCTCGACGTCGTAACATTGTTTTTGTACAATTGTCTGCACAACAAAAGATCTACCACAGGAGGCACAGCACAGATAACTATCATTCTCATTGACCTTTTCGTAGAACAATCTTGATATAGTATACGTAGATATCACATCACATCACGTTTCACAAATCACAACCGAGTGCAAATGATATAACTGTGTAAGTCGCACTGTTACTCACTGTATAATATTTGACACGCGTAAGTATCGAACAAAACGACAGATTGTTTTCAAATTACTCGCGTACCGGATAGCTGCCGCAACGGCGCACCACTGAGGAAGTGGGTTAACGAACCAATTGGTAATTTTGCAACATGCACCGGCTCTGGCGACCACGTCGGTCGACTGTGACCGACCGTCGAGCGAAAGGCAGCTCAAAAACCGAGAGTGCGTTGGCACGGTTCTTCCGCGAATGACAGGATGGTGCGGTCATGCCGACCGCGAGATAGCAAGATCGACGACAGTCACTGATAACACGGCCGATAACCATGAACAATTGGCTAATACCTAATAAACTAAACGTGATACATAGATGCAAATAAAACTTATCGTCACCTTTTATTGCAGGTAACACATGCAATAAATTCACACAGTAAGTGTATCATAACATTTTGTGACTTTGTGCATTGTATGCTTGTTCCTCATCAGCTTCCTCTATCAATCAAATGAAAGAGATGAAGTTGATGTTTTATAAAAAGTTACAAATTATTAATGCAAATATCTTGCCATGTATCAAAGAACATATTACATGCAAAAATATTTAACAAAGCAACAGCCGTTGACAATTGACTACACAACTGATAATTACAAATTGGGTTGAGTCAACTAGTTATTAAGCTGGTTGATTGCCATATTACTAAAATGCACTAATTGTGTCTCTCTAATGTTTAACCAAGAACCATTATCACCAAAATGCAGCATACAATTTTCTCATTATTTAACTATCTCTATCTTCAGCATCGTTAATAGCAAACTCATTTTTACTGGCTACAAAATTAATTAATCAATATTTTCCTATAAAAGCCTGACTATGTGGCAAAGGTATATTTATATGGCATCTTTAATCAGAATCTTGTTTCTATCAGTACACAAAAAAAATAAAGGTAGCAAAAATATGGTGAATAAATAAAGTATTAAATAGTTCAGACAATAGTAGCGACCTATTTTTATAAGAAAGAAGAATATATAACTCATTTTTATTTTAGAAAAGTAACTTATTTATTGCTATAGTTTAGTGATATGTGACTGCTGATTAGAATGCCCCATATACTGGAGTTTTTTTTCATATTCACATTGCAAAACAATAAGAAGTGAGTATCGACTCATCTCAATCTCATTCCTATTAGGTATGTTTTATCATAGCTAATGACATATGACTAAGATGTTTGTACAAGTTTGTGTTGCATCCCTACTTGCACCATTGGAAAATAACAAACAAAATAATTATCTTTACATAAACATAAGAGCGTCAATTATATGTTTTCTTCAAATTAAATAAGATTACATAATTTACTTAATGATTTGGTAAATTTAAAATTATGTAATATCATTTGACAATAACACAGAAAATGTTTAGTTATTAAGTGAATCACAAATGAATCGATATAGGAGTTGATAGACTTAGTTTAAGCTGGACAACAACTAAAATAGGTATTTGTAATATTTCTATGTGTGTGTAAGTGTTTTCAACTAACAAATGAGCTAATAGCTTAAGTATACTCTATCCACAACATATACATATCTAGGTATGCACATGTTAGTCTAATTTTCATTTCAATTATTTTATACTTAATAGTTATTGAATATTTATTTTACCTTTACCATACTAGGGGTGCTACTACTACAAACCATACATATAACTAGAATTATGACCAATTCTAGTAAAAGTAGTCAATATTAGAGTTACAATATTTTACTTTCTCAGTATTAAAAAAAACATATCTATTGATGCTCCATACTTAACCCTTTTGTACCGTCATTATAGACACAATTAAAGAACAATAGGTTGCGGTCACCGGTGTCCTCGCAGTGTTTGACAGTTTAAGACAGTGGGGTAAACTTCAGATTTAAACAGTTTGACTTTATTTATAAAAAGAGAGTAAAAAGAGTCTTTGAATTGTTCAAAACTAATGCTAAATGTTTGGAAATAACAAATATTATGGGCACATGTGCATATTATTATATCTAAAATTATTATAAAACTAAATAATAAAATCAATTGCTAAACTATTGATTTCGTTGATTGATTGATTGATTTTATTTACTTATCCTGTGCATTAAAGTAATCCAAAAAATAAATATAACTAGATTTCAAATGGATAATAAACTTCTAATTGGTATTTTCAGTAAGCTAGACCAAAAGGCAACATAAAATCAATTGTATTTATTGCTGATTCTTATTTTGACTGTTTTATCTGTCTGAATAAGTATAAAGAAATAAAAAATTTTTTGCATATCTGTTTTGGTTGTAAAATTAATATTTGCTTGTGATTAAGGTACCTATTTCTACTTCTATAATGTAGTGCTATAATGATAGATGATCCATTACATCTCACCAAATAGTAATTTCATACAAAATCTAATTAGTTATTAATTTATATTTTCATGTGCAAATTATTGGGACATAGGGTGTTTGTGTGTACCCCACCCACACACCACTTTGTGTAGTTTATAGCTATTTAAAATTCCATACATTTTTAAAGACATAAAACCATTTCATAACAAGCTTAGCTACTTATAATGTTTATTGGTCTAACTAATACTTATAATTAATAGTATTACTAATACAATAAAGTATTAACCTCTAGTATTTAAAATTTTAATGATTGAAATTTGCCAAAGCAATATTTTATAGTTCCACTTTTTTATCAACATAAAACCTAAAATTATACATTTTCTGCTAGAATTTTTATCAAAGGTAGCTAATCAATAATGGGGAGGACAGTCTTATCAGGAACAAAGCCTACTTATGCCTCCTACTACATAGTTGAGAGGAAATGAAATAAACTTTATGCAAATGAATACAATGTAATACTGAAAATATAACAGCAAGGCCTAAAGAATTGATGTGGAACATCATGCTAAGTGGGCCTACAGTCATGACAGCTCACCAGCAAGAGATATGAAACTATACAATTTTCCTTAAGCAGAAGGGGAACAAATAACTTTGAAATTCTATTAAGTAATTAATGACTGCTAGTTCTGTATAGAAACCCCTAATTTATTACGTCATGATAGATAGCAAGTAACCTCAAAGACTCATTACTAATTTCTATAAAACATGAATTCCCGTAAACTATGCGAATTACATGAAATGAATTCAAGATTATAGAAGACAAGATTGTCGAACTAGCAATTTCACGAAATACCCTAGAGATAATCTAGAATACGACGCATTTCTCCTTCAATAGATATTTTGACACGATTTATCTGTCACACGCCAGGCTTATGTGGCAGAGCCTAAGCACCGCCTGTGGCCATTTTTGAAATACTGCGGACATTAAATGCCGTCGATATTGATTAATTCACAAAAATTTGGTAAATTACGTGCTTAGAAGTTGGGTTTGTGGCAGTTTGCAGCCATTTTTAAAATTGTCAGTATCGAAATACGTCACAGGCGTAAGAAATCACGATGGCCGACAAAAGAATGGTTAGGTGGTAGGTACTTACTACTGATTTTTACGCCTCCAAGAGGTGGTTTCGGTGGCTGATTATCGAAAGTCTTTCGAACGGATTTGCTGCCCTCGGCGAATGACGTGGTCCTAGGGCGTCCGCTCATTATTATAGATATAAAATAAACGGCCTTAGAATCCTGAACTTCATAGATGCTTCACATTTCTCGTTACCACCCTTGCACTCGCACTGAACTCACTTTGCCGATGATATACAAGTTAAGGATGGTATAGTCAAAACAATATCACTAAGATACAATAGAAATCAAAATAAGACTGTCTTATTACGGTTTTACAATATCATTTTGTTAATTTTTCAAAATTTACATCACTAAAGTGTACGACAGATTTTAGTTTCTTCAGACTTGTACTCGCTCGTTCGGATAGTTTCGGCATTCACTCGGGCCTTCGATTGCTGAACATACGAAGATGACGTCACGTAAACGCTTTACAGCGCCATCTGTTAGTATTTTAGTTCTCTATTTCGAACTCATTCAGTAAAACAGTTCACCACAGATGTAACAAAACTGTAAAGACGATATTCTCGATATCACTAATCATATAATTAATAAGTTTTTCACAAAAAAGGGATTCACTACCTACAATAAATTAACATTAAAAATAATTTCAAATATTGGTAATAAATAAGAGTAGATAGTGGAAAACTGTAATCGCAAAATTATTTTTTTACGAAAATCACTAGGGTAACAATAAATTGACATTCTATTTTGGAGTAACAATTATACCAGAAAGTACTTATTTAAGAATTAAAATTGTACTGACTGGAGACCTTGATATTTAGAGGTGAATTGAATACTGATAAAACTACCAAAATAGATTTTTGGGGTCAGGTCCTTCAACAACCTATTGCGTTACATAATGTAACGCAATAGGCCCCAACATGTTCAAATCATAGGGTCATTTGCTATGTGAGAATTATAATTAGTAGTTAATACATTGCGCGCTGCTGGTTACTGTTCATTTTAATCGTATAGTAAGAAAAATCTAAAAACTCCTAATCGCGCAATGTATCACGGACATTTAAATTGGTACAACACTCGCTTTAGTGGGAAATTTTAATCAAGTAATCGTTCTCGAGAGTAGTTGCGCGTGCGCCGCGTAGGAGGCGAGCGGTCCGCAAGCGGCTGAACACCTACAATACGATGTGATTTTAAATCTACTGCACCACATCAAATGATACCAAGACCAACGTATCGCAACGCAGTTATACAAAATGGAATGTTATACATCGGATAGCTGTGACAGTGACACCAGGGAGCAGAAAACCCTTGATTTGTCGAGTCAAATGTTGGAATCACTCAGCCTATCGTCGGAACTAAAAGGCATTGTTGACGAGAAGGATTGCGCAGAAAATTACGAGATAATTCTCCTCTACAACAACAGGATAAAGGCACTGCCTGATACGTTAAACAGGTTTAGCAACTTGAAGATATTGGATGTAAGCAACAACAGACTGACTGTGCTCCCGGATATATTCAAACATTGTCAGCTAACGTCGCTGATAGCAAAACATAATCAACTCACCAATGAATCGCTTCCGAAGTCGTTCTTTAGTAATAAGAGCTCGCTGCGAGAACTCAATTTAAGTGGAAACCAATTGAACTTCTTTCCAGAGCAAGTTTTAGATATAGCATCTCTTAGATACCTTTACTTAGGTGGTAACAACATAGTCAACATACCAAAGGACATATGGAAACTTAACAGGTAAATATTATAATTATATATCTATAGATTTTTAAATGCGCCAGGTGAGGAAATATCAGGTGCACCTATTACGATAGTTATTGTTCTCAATTAGGTATATTCGTAGTCGTACCTAATTAAGTTTCAAATTTATGGTCAAACCTGATTGGAACTGCTGATATTATCTTCGTGCTATCTTCTCACAATAACAATCAGTAATTCATAAACATTAAACACTGGAGCTCTTTGTCTAATCTACTGACCGGTCATTGTGGAGATACAAACCTACTCAAGTGTTCAAACAACGTACCTTAAGCAAATCAACTACCATTTATATATATAGGTAGAATTGGTATATGCTAATATTAAAAATAGGTACGATTGTTCCACATTTGCTTACAAATATTTTACTAAACTTACCTATTTTATACCTATTATAACGTTTCAATAACTTAGTTGGTATTTAAAAAAGAGCAATGAGTACGAAACTAAAAGATAATAAGTATGTCCATGCATAAAAATAATGTTTCATTATCCACTCTACGTCGTTAACAGTAATTTTCGCTTATCATGTCGAAACTGATATAATTTTTGTTATCTGCCAGTTCAAGCAGACAAACACTACAGTTTCTCTGGGTATCAAAATGCTGTATCATGCCATTATGTGTAAAATGATAGCGCTACAGCTCTGCCGGCCGACTGACGACATACATTTAGATAAAATATAAATATACTAAGTTTGTTATCGTTTATGTACAGTGGCTAGACAACGCAAAATGGCCTAAAGATACCTACTATTTAAGTATATGCTTCTTATAGACCAACGTGTCGTGATAATCATAAGATCTATAGAGAATTTGACTCAACTTCCTTAGTTCCTTATATACCTACGGGATGCAAGTTTGTTACGTGTTGGAGCAAGCAAAGTGGACACAATTTCTCATTTGCCCTAGTCTTGTGCATCATAATTAGTGCTAGGTATCTGTTCCACAGTATTCTGGTTTCATAAACCTTAAAGATTAGGACAAAATTACCTTGGAACATAGAGCAACACAGGCCACCGGCGGACCAGAGTTGCTCTATGCCTTGGAAATTGGATGATTCGAAAGGCTGTCCACGTAGGTAAGCCACATTGTACCCTTACTTTCAATAATAACATATTTTTGTCTTCTTAAACAGTTTGCAGATTCTATCTTTAGGAGGTAATCAAATTATCGAAGTTCCGGAATCGGTTGGGCATCTGACGGGGCTCCAAGCTCTGGTTTTGAGCGACAATCTAATTGAGCAACTGCCAGCGAGCATAGCTAGATTGAATCAACTACGTTCCTTATTAATCCACAAGAATAGATTGAAGACATTGCCCACGCAGATAATAAAACTAAAATGTTTGACGGAGGTGAGTACCTTTTTTTTTCATTACGCTCTAATATGACGTTGTAGGAGGGTACTAATTTTCTTATATACCTATCAACTTTAAGACCTTAGGGAAAAAATGAAGTAGGTAGGTGTACTGGGTATGAAATATCTATAGGTATCAAATGATAAATGGTTTACTGTACCTACGTCCATTACCTATTGTATGGATAAAGCAGACATTCTCGTTCGATCTCTGGGGTCCTGCGATTGATTCTATTGTTGTTCCAACTTTATATATAAATCTATTGTCTGAAGAATAACAAGGTGATATACACGTTGTTTGTTTTGATAAATGCGGCATGTGCCATGTAGGTAGGTAGGTATTAACCTAGTACACAACTGGGGAGCTATAGGTACCTTCATATTAACATAGCCTATGCTGCCTACGCGTTACGTAATTCACCAGTGTCCTCCCTCCGAATGACAATCTTTTTTTACACACTTGGTGGTCAGGTGAGTCACTGTTTATTAATGCCACTGGAAAAACAATGCTAAAAATACCTATACAGTCACGATCAATATGTTAAATTATGCACGTGTTTAAAAAAAAACTGCATATCATTTATTACACTTGGAATATTTACTCATGATAATATTTTGAGAGTACCATGTTGTACAAGGGTTGTAGACACTCGCTTTTTACGCAAAAGAGGGAACTGAAAAATCCTGACCATACACATATAAGTGACTTGGGAAACGAAGCTAAGAACCTTTGTACTAGAGTAAAGCTTGCAACCGCTCGTCTCTCAAAATAGATTTGTATGTCTGCGGGTATACAAGAGCATAGATACTGATGTTTTAAATTCCCTTGCAGTTGAGTCTTCGCGACAACCCTCTAGTAGTGAGGTTTGTCAGAGACATGACGTTGCAACCTCCTTCTTTATTGGAACTGGCTGGTCGCACCATCAAACTACATGAGATACCGATACGACAAGGCGAAGTACCTTTAACGTTGATGAGGTATCTTGGAGCAGCTCAATGTTGTGTTAATCCCAAATGTAAAGGTAATAAAACATTTTAAAAATATAAAGCACTTTGGCCTACCTATGTAGGCAAGAACTACTTTTAAGTTTCAGAGAATGGAACTATGCTTAGCAATTTAACAATCATCATCACAAGAGATGGACACGTAAACACGTTGCTCATGCTCTCATTATTATTGCAAACATTCCGATAAAATAATTTGAAGTAGGCGAGTGTGAATCGCAATTCACGCTCGTAGAGAAATCTCATATCTCTGCGCTCTCAATAGCTGGGGCTAGAAACTAAAAAGATGAAATTCCTTCCGATAGTCTTCAAAAACTTGAAGACAATATTTTTAATATAATTATGTAGGTATTTTAAGCTTAGTTATGCTCTCAAGCTTAGTAAAATGGTACCGATATAATATGATGGTGATTTATTTTATACACGAATCAGTTACATTTCTTCCTATGCAAACTGAGCTGTTTATGTATTTTGGAGAATTGGTAGGTACTTAAGGCTTATCACTCTGATAAAATGTAAGTATATAACGTAAAAAAACATTTATTGGCACAACAATCAAACCCGATGCGCATTTATCTATCGTGTTATTATGGGCGTTGACAAGTAAGATGGCGCGGGTGAAGTCAATAAGTTGAGGATGAGTGTGCGTCACGTAGTCCTCGTATCTACCAAAATTATACCTACCACACAGAGGTTATTTTGTTTAAGTAATAGAGATAAACTAAAAGTTATATTCTCATTGAATAATAATATTATTACAGGTGTTTTCTTTGACAATCGTGTGGAGCACATCAAGTTTGTCGACTTCTGTGGCAAATACCGCATTCCACTTCTGCAATATCTATGTAGCTCTAAGTGCATCACTGGAAGTTGGGAGAGTCGCGAGGCAGATAGCAATCCTCATCCTCACATGATGAGGAAAGTTCTCCTGGGCTGACTATAGCCGCGATTTATGTGGTCTATCCTATCTAAGACCTCTAACAGTAACTTGTAAAATATGATAAAAAAAAACTATTTTAGTAAACACTGTTTATTATGTACCTAAGAAAATGTTTTGTTATTTCATTGTTATTGTTATCCAGGAGTCTAAATTTGTTTTGAATAATATCTACTTATCTAAAAAATGTAAAACAAGTGAGGAAAAATTGTAGTTAATGTTCAAGTTTCATTTCTTTTAACAACATTGGTATAATAAATATTTTTTTAGAAATATATTGGTGAATAAATATTGGGGCCATGGTTGTTATAATTATTCATTGTAAGATTATCCTAAGGTACCTACTTGCACATATATGTGCCAATATGTGATACATTTTATAGAACATTTATATTGAAATAAAGTATATTTTCATTATTCACTATTTTAATTTCACTTTCCCCTAGTAACAGTTACTTTAGTTGTTTTCTTGTAAAAATTTCCTTCTTTCTTCTTTGCCTCTCATAATGGCAGCTTTGAATAACTTGCAGTATAGTTCTATGGCTGCTGGAGTATCATCATTGCCTGGCACTGGATAAGTGATAAGGTTAGGATTGCAGTTGGTGTCCACAATGCCAATAGTTGGTATTAACATCTTTGCACTATCTCTAACAGCTGTATGCTGGTTCAAGATGTTATTTTGTGTATTCAAAAATATGCATAGATCTGGTAATCTAGTTACAGCTCCAAATTGATGGTTTGCATTTGTAAAAATGCCTCCTCTCCAGAACCTTGTGTGTGCATATTCCCCACATTCTTTTGCAGTTTTTTCAACCAAATGGGCATTCAGGGCATTTCGGTTGAAAAAACAAATGATACCTCCCCTGTATGCAATATGTGCTGTAAAATTCAGTGCTTTTCGTAAATGTTCAGCAGTGATGTCCAAATCAAATATTAAATGGCCAAGTCTGGATCCATAGAGGTATGGTCTCATGTAGTCATTCAATGAACCTTCTTTGTGACCATAGTGAACTCTGGCATCAAACAAATCTTTCACTGTGAATAAATTATGAACACTAAAATAATCTGGATGATCTAAAATCTTTTTCTTGGTTGCTTGATCTGAAAAATAAAGGATAAGTACGGTTAAAGTAAACATTCATTAAACTTCATAAATTCCAGTTAGATAATGGTTAGCTTTAAATATTTTTCAATGCAGAAAGTATCTCTATGCAGGATAAAGGTAGGAATGTAAATAATCCAGTTATGTTTAGATTTATTCATTCTCCATAATAGTGAATTGGAATGTAAATAAAATATACCTAGAATAGGTATTTTGTTCACATGACTTATTCTACTTTTATATACCGTATTTCATGTTAAGGTGGACAAAGAGTACATGGTTAGGTTAGTAGAATAAATAAGAAAACTAACCTTCAGTTACAGGAGAAGCAACAGGTTCTGTGGCAGTAGAGTTATGTCGTAATATAGGCACGGTACGAATAATAGCACGGTGTTCTAGAATCATACATATGTACAAATAAATAAAAATATCACAAAATGTAAAAAAATACTTAAATAAAAGATAGTAAATAATTGTTCGATATGATTATTTTACCAAATAAAGTGTGTCGATACTTACTTAGACAATTTGAAAACATTCTTACTTTTTAATGAGGTACTTTTGTATTATTTTTATGTTATAATTTGATGAAAATCTTTCGTATTCGTAATTAATCAAATCAAAAATACTATCTTTTGACAGTTGAAAGTGAGGTTATTTATATGCCCATAGAGATTTTTTACTTTTTTTATTACAATGACTATACAACATACAGCCGAACATACTTACATTTTTTTATGGAATAGGAGGTAACCGAGCAGCCGTATCACCTGATGGTAAGCGACCTGCGCCACCCATGGACACCAGCAACATCAGAGGAGTCACTGTTGCGTTACCAGCCTTTTAAAAAGGAAAACGCTCTTTTCTTGACGGTTTGAAGGTCGTATCGGTTCGGAAATACCGCCGACGACATAAGTACATAACTTCACGCCTGTCTCCCGTGGGGGCAGGCAGAGACTATGGAACGCCAATTACTACGATTCCTACCACAATAGGAATTCCTACGATTACAATATACTAGTCGATTCCTACATACCTCTTTTGTTTCATTAACAGTGACCAATCTTTTCATCCAAACATACAGAAATAAATTATGTAATATGAAATATTTCATAGAATAATTAGAGTAAGTAATTTGAGGTAGTTTGAGTACTGGCATTTTTACACTCATGTTTTAGACATTGCAGTCTATGGTATAACTAATAACTAACGTCAAACTGTCAACTGACGTGACGTCATATTGATATTGTCACAACATTGTGTAAAGTTTGCAATTGCAAGTGTTGTGAATAATTTTTTATCAATATTAACAATTATTAATTAAATACTCATAGAATTTATACAACTGTAAAATTATCAGAATGGCACCGAAGAATATTCAAGATGTTGACTTATACGCTTTGCTGGATATCCCAATAACAGCGACAGAATCTGAGGTATGTTTAGTTTATCTTTTACTAACGAGCCGCCCCAGCTTTGCACGGGTATATGCATGTATTTTACATAAAAAACCTTCCTTAAGAATCACTCTATCTACTAAAAAAAACCCGCATCAAAATCCGTTGCGCAGTTTATAGATCTAAGCATACATAGGGACAGACAGACGGCGGATAGCGACTTTGTTTTATACCATGTAGTGATGATTCAGCTATTTAAACATTCTTTAATTAAGTAGAAGATAAATAAATAAATTTAATTTTTCAGATTAAAAAGGCTTATCGAAAAAAGGCCTTGAAATGCCACCCAGACAAAAATCCCGACGATCCCAAAGCTGCTGAGACTTTTCACGCCCTTTCAGACGCTTTAGAAGTATTGACTGATGCCTCTGCTAGGGCGGCTTATGATAAAGTACTCAGAGCTAAGGCTGCAGCAAAATTAAGACATCAAGAATTGGATAGTAAGAGACAAAAACTGAAAGAGGATCTAGAAAGGCGGGAAAAAGAAGCAGAAACAAACAAAGGAGGTTGTAACCTCACAGATGAACAAAAATTAGCAGCAGAAATTGAGAGATTACAGAGGGAAGGTAGCAGACTGTTGATGGAAGAACAAAGAATGAAGGAAGAAATTCAAAAAACAAAGGGACTTATATCTCAGCCTGTGTGGGATTCCAGTTTAAATAGAATTAAAATGAAATGGAAGGCAGATAAAAACGATCCAAACAATGGTGGTTATGATGAACCCACACTAAGAAGATTTTTGAAGAAGTATGGTGATATAATAGCTCTTCTTGTATCTCCTAAGAAAAAAGGATCTGCTATAGTAGAATTTGCATCTAAGGAAGCATCAGAAATGGCTCTAGAATTTGAGAAAGGTAATATAAATGTCCATGTAATACTACGGTCCTCACTTCACATACAATAAGTATCCTATGTCTTTTCCCAGACTAAATTATGTCATCTCTGTACCAAACATAGCAATGGTTTTTTAGTGAAATAGTAATTGACTAACATACTAACTTTCTCATTAATTATTAAAATAAAATGGTTACGTAGAAAATTGTTTTTTTTTGTCATATCTGTATAAGTGCGTATTTGTAGAAAGCAAACATACCTACATATTTGTAGATAGTTTTGTTTACTAAAACTTAAGTTTTATTTTCCAGGTTTACCAGACAATCCCTTAACACTAAAATGGGTTAATGACAGGCCAGTATTGACAACCAAGAAAGAAATTCCCGGTCCATCACTAATCTCGGATAGAGATTATGAATCAGTGGTGTTAGCTAAAATGAGGCAAGCGGCAGAGAGACAAAAGTTAATAGAAGAAATGTTAAAAGAAGAAGAAAGTAATAAATCATAATACATCATACCATTGTTATAAGTATCAATAAAAAACTCAATGCAAATGTTATCCTTATATTTTACTTAGTTACATTTAAAAAAAATTAAATTTATTTTTTTTCACTACTGTAGCTCACGTTTTGTACCCAAAAAGGTGAGCACATACTAAATATGGTGGTACCCAGTATTTTACCAGGCTCAAATTTCAATTCAGTAATAATTGAGAATTTTAATTATTGAAATACTCAAAAGTGCTTTCTTGCCTAATCCAGGAATTGAACTGAAGACCAATTGGTTGGTAGTCCTATTGTTTAAAAGGATCAAATGGTTTCCATTCTTTTACAAAGTTCATAACTTTCCTTCTTTGACTTTCCCCATTTTCTCTACGAGGGTTCTTCCATAGACTGTGGTCTAGATCCAAAATACCACCAATAATTTCCTAAAAAAGAAAAATATAAATAAATATTGAAATTGCAAAATAATGTGTACTGTTTAAGTCCAAGTAAAAAACAATGGATTTACCTCGGCAAAATTCCTTGGAAACAGTTGTTGGTCTTCAATGACATGAGCAAAACCAGGATCCATTCCAAAGTCAATCCAAAAATATGGCAATCCTTTTGGTATTCCTTTTCTAATGTTTTTGCCTTTCAAGTCTACCACCTTTTTATTCATGGACCATTCTGCTTCACACTCTAGAAGGGCCTTTTTGAAATATATTGCAGCCATGTCCCCTACATCTCTTGGAAGGGGGACACAGTTTATAACCATATGTGGGTGTCTATTGAGCCTTGTTGCTGTCTCAAAGAACACAACATCTTTTCCTTGAGAATTGTAGAACTGTGTAAGAGCTTTTCTGTAATTCTGAAAAAAAAAAGAACAGTATCTTAGTAAAATATGTTGGAAATAAAAATGAACTGAGAAGTAAGACAAGAAAAATAAATACCATTATTTCTTCCCATACATCCTCATCTATGGATGTGACACAGGTGGCATGTTGTACAGTTGTGATTATACAGTGATCTGGCACAAGAGACACTCTTGAAGGCAATGCCACATACACTCTATTGCCACAACTGACCATCAGATGCTTCAACATGTTCTTAGAATCAACACAATGTTCACATCCATCTAGTGTCCTCTCCATTTTGATATGCTGGCTGATAGCACGACTTCTCTCATTCTCACTTTCCTTTACAGCATCTCTGTTCCTTGATATGTTGTCCATGAAAATGTCTTCAAGATCATCATTAGGATTTTTGTGTTTAGCAGCAAGCTTGGCCAATTCAGCTTCATCATTGTAATTGTTGCCATATTTTTCTTGTTGGAACTGTAATGAGATTTAATTAAGTTTTATAACATTAAAGATAATAAACATAATAATTCATCAACTATAATTTAAAAGACCTTACCATTTGTGCCAAGTTATACTTGTCATCATCACCAAAGTACTTTGTCCTTTCACCAGAAACATGTGTCTGAGCTTTTCTTTTGCCACTCTTACTTCTAGGATCTCCTTTCTCAGTGCTTGTAAGTGGACGACTGCTTCCAGATGCACTGGTTGCTATTAACATCACACTATCATCTTCTTCCTCAGCTCCAGCATCAGGATTTTCCTTCCTATACTTTCTTGCAGCTTCTAATTTTGCTTTTAGTTCAGTTACTAGTTTTTCATCACCTAATATTTCAGCTTTTACAATTTTGGCAGCTAATTTGTTCATTTTCTCATCACTTAGATATTTACTGTCTTTTGGTTTGTCTTCAGGCACCTGCTTTTTTGCAGTATCTACCTTATAAGATGGCATGGCAGTTTCTTCCCTTGATTTTTGAACAAATGATTCTGATTGCTTCTGTGCATCACTTTGCTTCTTCCAATTACTCGATCTTCTGTATGGATCTCTATCTGAATATTTTTGATCCTTGTTGTAATCTTGATGTTTGTCATGTGATCTACTGCTAGAATAGCCAGTAGTACTACTTGAATGAGAACTTTTGGGTCTAGAATAATAGTCATCATCATCATCAGACGGTTTAATAAACGGCCTTGATTTCCTAAAATTTTCTGCTGTTTCTGGTACCCCAGTTCCACCATTTTTCCAATATGGATTTAATTCCCTGCTACTTGTACCGGGATTGTAGGAGTCAATGTTTCTTTTATCCTTTTCCTCCCTCTTAGGCTTAATATCTTCCTTTGTGTATGTTTTAAGCATACCTGTCATTGACATCCAGTCTTCTCTCTGGGCGGCATTAGTTTGTTTTGTTTGTTGTTCAACCCATTCATCAGATTCTGAGCCACTTGAGCTGGATGACTGGAAATAAAATCATTACCAATTATCAGTACAACGTAAATCTAAATATTGCACAAAACCTGGGAAATGCTTGTAATAATGAACTTACACTTGTAGAATGTCGTCTACTCTTTTTCTTGCGTTTTTCACGATCTTTAGATTTTTGTGACTTACTGTGTTTGCTTTTTTTCTGCTTTTCATTCATGGTTTAAGGACAAGTTGATTAGGAATAAAAATATTTAACCAACCAAACAAACAACAATTCTCCCAAAGTTTAACAAAGTCAATTTGAGAGTTGAGACTGCAAATCTTTACATGTCAGTGTCATTTGTCATAGCGATAGCAATAGACACGTGCGGTCAATCATATCTATGGTTTTCATAAGAATGTCTCTTCTTTTTGTCAATTCTCACCTCTATTTCACAAATGGTTGGTCAGGTAACTCTGTGTCTCTGGTTTGTTTCCGAATTTCTGTTTCGTTCGTTGTTGGTTGCTGTCGTTTATCGTTTTTACCAAGCGATTTTGTTGTATTTTACTGTGTTACTTGTCTTATCAGCATATTTTTTTAGTAATAGAGTCAGTTTTATTTAGAGCACAACTTTATTTATTAGCTGAAGTGGTGGAGTTTTTAATATCATTACGTTAATTTAATTTGTTGTGTTATGTACCTGTGTGGAGCATGGATGCCTGCTGAGGAATGTCGGAATACGCTCTTGATTTAGTATTCTGTGTGTGTTCGTAACTACTTAAAGCTCAGAGTACACACCTCGAAAGTAACTGTGAGTGGTTTTTTGTTTTATAACTTAAAAGCGTAGCGAATTACCCATATCTAATTTAGTGTCGATTTGTGTTATCGTAAAAGAAAGTATTAGTAATCGGTTAGCTTTCCTTTCTTATGCATTATTATATAAAATAATAAAGTGGTGTTAATTTGAGCTATTAGATGAGCAGGTAAACATTGTATTACCATGGTTATCATGTTTTGTTTGCAGTGCACACCACACTATGTTTTCTAAGAAAAAGAAAAAGCCTCTGATTTCGCCGCCAAGTAATTTTGAACACAGAGTACATACGGGCTTCGATAAACGAGAGGGAAAGTTTGTTGGACTTCCTTTGCAATGGGCCTCACTTGTAGGTAATAACCAGGTATGTACTTGTGAAGATTTCTATTTGTGAACTAGTTACTTTGCACATTGTAATGACTTTTTAATATCTGTCAAATGGAAGTTCTACACATTTGTTGATTTACATGATTTGTAAATTTGTAGGTAATATGTTTGTAAATAGTGTGGATATAAACCTTATCAAGATTATTTTTTAACTGGTTTGCATCTTTTACAGATATTAAAATCAACAAACAGGCCACTTCCCCTGGTAGACCCATCAGAAATCACACCCACCGAAATTCTAGACTTAAAAACTATAGTAAGAGGTGACCACAGAACTACCTCAGTGTCCTCAATAGCACGCCCCTTACCCTCAAGCATACCACAACAGCCAGTACAAAATGGTGTTGTGTTGCCAAAGACGTCAAATGTTGCCAGGTCAAATTCTTTAAGGAGTACTAGCCCACCGAGGATCAGGAGGGACCTGAGAAGTCAGCCTAATGTCCCTCCATCAGTGCCTGAAGAGTCACCACCTGTGCCACCTGCCCCTCAGCAATACTTAAGTTTAAGACGAGAACACAGCAACTATACATTGAACAAGCCTATAGCTGAGTCTCCTGTAGAATGGAGCCAGCATGCACATGAGGCTACAGTCAGACAAGTACCAGAAATCAATGATAATCATCATCCTATGACCTATCAAAACATACAGAATGCAAATGTGCCTTACCAGCACAATCATCCGCCACAACCAATGACTCACGGACCTCATGGACTGAATGGAAACAACATTAACATGGGTATGTATATCTTAAATTAAACATATTTAAAGATTGTATGACATAGTTTTTAAAATGATTCAAATGTGACTAAAAGTTTATTTTTAGTAGAGTCCTTGTCAATTCATTGGGCAATGTTGTACTCATATTGCGTGAGAAACAATTATAATGAAGATGTGAGCCAACATGCAATTGTACATATTAATTTAACATGTGAACTAATTTGCATGTAAATATTCCAGCATGTAGCTGTTATAATTAATGCAGTCTATTGTCACACATTTCATTCATATCTAGCAGAATTTTCTTGTTCAGTACTTTACAATTATATGAATTTCTCTACCACAGCATGGTTGATGGGTTTCCCATTATAAATAAAGAGTTCCTGAGTTAGTAATAGTTCTGTGTTAACTTTGTTTATATGTGTTATGTTTATAGTTATTGAATTTTCTAAATGTCACTTCAATGTTATCACATTACAGTTTATGTACATAGCTAGATTACAAATGATATAATAATATGTGGTTTATGAAAGCTAGGTAGTTTAAAGTTTAAACACAGTGTAGACCTGGTTTCACTCCAGATTTCAGTTTCAGAAAAAATTAAAATAATTAATTTAAAACATTATGTACATAATAAATAAGGGAATGCCTCGTTGACCGAGTGGTTGCAAGTGCGACAGCCGGGCAAGGGGTCTCGGGTTCGATTGCCCAGGTCGGGCAAAGTATTACTGGGTTTTTAAAAAATTCTCAGTAGTAGCACGGAGTCTGGAATTGTGGCCGGTATATGGCAATAGGCTCACCGCCTATTACATTGTACAGTGGCATAATGTGCACCTCTGCCCCTTTGGGGATAAAAGGCGTGATGGTATATTATGTAAATAAGGGAATCTCTGGTATAATACTGTTATTTTTCCTTTAATTTCCATAAAATACGTAATTACAATAATTTGTCATCACTGACTAAGTAGGAAATAAACTCTCTGCCCCAACAATTAACATTTTGTGTAACAACAAACAAATCTTGCTTCCACACTTAAGAAATAACTTTGTAAATACCTTTGCAAAGATAAACAACACCTCAGATTTCAAACTACTTATACAAATGTTTCACTCAATGCCTTTGTCGCCTAACAGACGCACACAATCATAATCCATATCAATATCGAATTTAGTATTCTGCTATGAATGAGTCACCTTTATTGCCCTTTAACAATTCATGTTAATTGTTGTTTTGTTTTTGTATGAGAAGTAGGAAGAGGATATATTTAATGATTATCATATTACTTGATTTTAAACTTTAGTGTACTTGAAATAGGTAGTTATTTGCTTAGTTGAAAATATTTTGTCCATATCCAGGTGACGCGTATGGTGTGTCTCGCGCGCAAGGTGCTCCGGGCGCGGCGCCTCACCTGCCGCTCGCTGCCTCCAAACATGAACTGCGATTGACGCATGAACAGGTATGCAACGCGTTAAATTACATCATACCTCTGTATATGGCTTGTTATCTCATTGTTACTAACTACAAAATACGTGAGGAATGTAAAAAAGTACTTTTGATTACTAAAACTTAAACTTCTACATTTTACCAAATAAAAAACGCTATCTTTTGACCCCTTTCGTAGATAGTAAAAAAAGAGGCCAAAAGATAAACTGTGGCTAAAGTTTAACAGTATTGTGGTTGATATCCAATATCTATCTATTTAGTTCACTGTAATTGACTGCTAACTACAGGTTTCCTTTATGATGTTGATGACCCTTTCTGTACTACTGGGTGTTGGGCTAGTTATATCTATTAACATATTATACACTATAGAACGTTTTTTTTTATAATATTTATACTTAAGAAAGAATAGTAAGTGTCTTGAATTCCATTGACATCTTTTTGTAGTACTACTGTTGTGTTATAACTATTGTTATATCAATATGTGTAGATAAGTCAATCGGTCTGAATCTGCTGATAAATTCCAATGTAAATATTTGTATTGTATGCACCTACACCTGCTCTTTCTAATTGATGTAATATGTTTTTACAACTTCTAATAGTAATGAATGTTTTATCCTTTATTTGCTAGTTCCGAGCGGCTCTTCGTTTGGTTGTAAGCGAGGGTGACCCTCGTGCGACGTTGAGCGGGTTCAGTAAGATCGGCGAGGGTAGCACGGGGGTTGTATGTGCCGCCACGGACACTCGCACGCGTCGCCGAGTGGCCGTCAAGATGATGAACTTGAGGAAACAACAGAGGCGGGAACTTCTCTTCAATGAAGTTGTAAGTAACCACTTTCATTAAATTTTTAATAAATGTCTTCTAACACCTTATCAGTGATGATAGGATCTGTCTACGACTACGTTGCTCATATTTTACTTATTTCCAGGTTATAATGCGCGACTATCCCCATCCAAACATCGTCGAGATGCATGCTTCATATTTAGTTGGAGATGAGCTTTGGGTTGTGATGGAGTACATGGCAGGAGGCGCCCTTACTGATATTGTGACGAGAGCTCGAATGGACCCTGAACAAATCGCTACTGTCTGCAAACAGTGTTTGAAGGTATGAAATGAATTTTTTATATCAATCTTAAACACAAATTATATCGTCTTTTCATTTCTAGGCTTTAGCTTTCCTGCATAGTCAAGGAGTTATTCATCGAGATATTAAATCGGACTCCATTCTCATGACTGCAGATGGCCGGGTGAAATTATCCGATTTCGGCTTCTGTGCTCAAGTCTCAGAGGTAATCAAAATCAATATATTAAAATTGTCAATATAAAACATAACAAAATAAAAATTCGTTGAATTTTAAACTATAATGTTTTACAGGAACTTCCGAAACGAAAATCCTTAGTGGGGACACCATATTGGATGTCACCTGAAGTGATATCGAGATTGCCATATGGTCCTGAGGTGGATGTGTGGTCGCTTGGAATCATGCTTGTTGAAATGGTCGATGGGGAGCCACCCTTCTTCAATGAACCACCTTTACAGGTAATTACTAAATAAGAAAACGCATTAATGTTCATCTATTTTCGCATTCGTAATATGAATGAATGTGAAGACAGCAGAGTAGAATACATTTGTCGCCATCCTTATTCTTTCCTCGGTGGTCGTATGAATTGATTAAGGGTATACATAGTTACATACATATTTAACAGACACCAAGTACTAGCGTTTTCTAATAAATCTGATCCTTTTAAACTGTGATCTTCAACCTGCTTGCCAAAGCTGAAGTTTATGCCAAACTCCTCTTTTATATCCTTAGGAGTCCTTCGGGATATTGATGATGAATGTAAATGATTAACGTGGCATTATTTTGCAGGCGATGCGTCGTATCCGCGACATGCCTCCGCCTCGACCGCGTGGCGCGGCGCGGTGTCCGGCGGACTTGCTGAGCTTCGTGGAGTGCGCACTGGTCCGGGACCCCGCGCAGCGCCAGTCCGCGTCCCGCCTCCTGCAGCACCCGTTCCTGCGCCGCGCCGGGCCGCCCGCACTGCTCGTACCTCTCATGCCACCAGCTCACCATCACGCCGCGCCACACCACGCACCCAATGATCCCGCCGCTAGTGAGTATACCACTTTACCTACCTACGCTATTCAGGCTCTAATTATTTTACTGTAAATGGTACAACGGCCGTTCGTGCGTGACTCATTACCCGACCCCAATCTCTTATCATAATTCAAATTCTCTATTTTCGTTCGTATGCCTTAATTAAAATACTAATGAATGAATGTATTTTAATTTCAGATCAATCTATGTCACCCGGACCGCCTCAGTCAGGTCGATAAAACTGGTCAAATGCTGAACAAATACAGTTGTTACTGTGAGTGTAACATGGCAGCTATTTATACAGATGTAATTCTAAGCTTTAGTAAATAGACGAAAATATCGAACATGACATACCAAAGTTGTTGTAATGCAACTTGTTTATTTTGTGTGCAGCACTAAAGTAAGATAAATACTTAGCCACTGCAGCCCCAGTGATCATTCCATTATTTATGTATTTCCTTTGAAACCAATGGTATTTATAACTACATTCCTTCCGACTTTTTTTACTCTTTGTATTTACAAATATGTGTAGTTTATTAAGGAAATGTAATCTTGCTGTTTTAAGGGCCTCTAGGGAACATGTTTATTATGATACATAATAATTGGTATCCAAATTTCCGCCCCGTCCAGACCTAGTATAATATTGTTGAATCTTATACTAAAATATATTTCTATCAAAGTTAAATAAATTAGCGTGTTGTGAAAAATACATATTTTCTTCTACTCTACATGGTTAGTGTTTGTTTATAAATTAAATGTTTTGTAAAAAGTGATTTCTTTAATTAACTGTAATTAAAATTAGAACCATGAAGTGCCAGAAAATTATAAAAAATCGATTATAAATCAGTATTATGGATTGCCTTGTACTTATTATTAAAAAAACTTATACACTTTTCTTTAGGTTTAGGATTAGTGAATCAGTAATTTATTAATACTTTCTAAACTAACTAACATTCCGACGAAGGATCTTCCTGTGTTGTTATACCAAGATGATGGTCAGTCACAAACATTTCTGGAGTCTTGTGTTAATATTTTATGAGATTAATGTTACTTATTTTTCTAAATTAGTTTTTACATTTCTTCTGTAATGTACTGTGATTTCAAGCGCCTATAATATAGAGCCCGTCTTGTCGTGCGTTACGTTAACGTGCCTATTAACGTTTCTTTACTGTAACTGAAGTGTACCTATGTATTAAATGTCGGTTTAGATTTATTACTGTGTAGTTAAAGCAGCTAGACAAGAGAAACGAAATCTAAATTATAATTTTAGATATTGACATGCCTTATTAGGATCTGTAGTGCCTTATAAAGCCTTTATTGTTAATATGTAGTGAACTAGTTATTGCACTTGATATTATTTGTTACAATATCGAAGGTGAGAATGACATTGTTAATATTATGTAATATTAAGCACATCACAATGATATTCATCTTAATTCTCAGGTGATGAAGTGGAATCTATTCTAATTTATTGTTTTACATTCACATCATTTTTATAAGGTATTATGCCAAATATATTGTATTATTTCATATTTGTAAAATCACATTGTTAAGAACTGTTACAGAATATAGACTTTGAAACTATTTTGTTTTTTATTTTTTATCAAAGTTTGGTACGATGGCAAGAATGTCTCGCTTTCTGAGTTTGCTTTCACTTTTTCCGTTGAAACTCGATACACACAGATATCAAGATCAATCACTTTGATAAGTGATGGCGTAATAAGGTAATTGAAGATTCGTGAACGAACTTGTTATCTAAAAGCTCAAATATCGAGAGCATTGTTGATTACAGGGTATGAATATCATTTTTATCAGAATTAATGAAAGAATGGTGTCGATTTAGGTCCTTTTTGTATGGTCCTCGTATCTTAGTTACGTAACCGTTATGTATATAAAAATCAATCCCAATTTTTCTAAGCTCTCGTATCACATATCATTGTGGTTTGTAAATGACTAGAAATAGTAATTTTGTCGACGCTGTGGTGGGCCGCTAATAAAATCAACTGATATCAGAGAAGTTTATACTAACACCCGTGCGAAGGGGCAGCCAAGAAGGGGTTATAAAGGTACCTAATATTTGTCCTTTAGCTGTCATGAACTGTTTTACGTCGTGGTCGGTTGAACAGCTGCTATGCAACGAGTCGCTTGTTCGATTTCGACATTGACACGAAACAAAAGTTTATAAATAATAATTATTATTGTAGTTTCGTGTCTGCGTGGGCTGCGTAAATAAATGTATTTTTATTATACACGCATGTAGAATGGGAGCTACATAATACCTTCTCATAAATAAACTAGTTACAATAAAGTTAAACAAGTGATATAATTATGTATTTAAGTTTATTAGTTACAATAAATTCAAACGATAGAAATATAGAAGACAAAAATTATTTGTAGAACTCATATTCACTCTCATCCTTCTTGATGTTGTTTTTGTAACCCTTCTCAAAGTCCTTGGGCAGAACAATATACCTGAAACAAATAATAAGTTAGAAAAGGAGTAGCTCTTATATACCAAAGTAGATTCAAAATAAAAGTAACACATACTAGACATAACATAACATCACGCCTTTCATCCCCAGAGGTGCACATTATGCCACTATACAATGTATGCCCACTTTTCACTATTTATGTTATGAGTCCCATGTAATAGAGGGTAAGCCTATATAACACAATACTAGAAACTAGAACATTTCATGATCCTGCAGAACAGAGTAATCTCTTATTAGTGTAGGATCCAAAGTTCAGTGTCATATACATACCAAACGATGCTTCACAATATACAAGGTGTACTTTTAAAACCGTGGCATTTCTCGGGGGCATGTCACAGAAGTCATAAAGGTTCAATGTAAGACAAAGTTTCGGGCCAATAGTTAAAAATACGTCTATAATAAATCGTTAAGTTTGACAATATTTCAGAATAAGCGACAGCAACGTTTCTTATTAGAGTTTTATGGAATTAGGAATAATATCAATTACGTGTTTGAGTTTGTGTGTGTTAAGCCGCGTTATAAAACTAGTTACAAGACGGCAGCGTGTAGTTCGCACTTACGGATTTCCGTAAATTACAGAAAAATGAAAAATATTTATCTACAATTTTTTTACTGATTCGAACTCAGAATTGATAGCAGAGTTACCTCCTAGAAAATGACGCAGCTTTAAAACAACACCTTGTATACTTTATAACTAACTTTCTTGGCTTAATTGATGTGTTTTCTTACCTATTCTCACGAACGGCGTGCATACCAGCCTCTTGACAGATAGCGTTGATGTCAGCACCAGAGACGCGGTCCGGCCGCGCTACAAACTCTTCTAGATCCACCTCTTCCGACAAGTTCATTTTAGCTGTGATCGTCGAGAAGATAAGTCGCTTTTGACGCCTGTGAATATTCCAATAAAGTTAATTTTCATATAATTTATTGCTAACATTTTATTTAATTAAATGTTATGAATCTTGGAAGTGCTTGTACTTGCCTGTCAGGAAGTGGGAATTCAATCTTCCTGTCAAGACGACCAGGTCTGAGGAGGGCAGGGTCCAATGTGTCGGCACGATTTGTGGCCATGATTACCTTAAAGTTAAAGAAAATTACCCATTAGGCATTATAATCAACAAAGTAGATAGACTAGAAGTCTTATCTATGACACAATATTTTATAAAAGAGGTTTCGATGTTTACCTTTACGTTAGTGGTTTGATCAAAACCGTCCATCTGGTTCAGCAGTTCCAGTAAAATTCTCTGGACTTCTCTGTCTGCACCAGTCTGTGCATCAAATCTGCAAATGAAACGCATTAGTAAAAATTACCACATTAATTGTCTGTAGACAGCAGTCATTAAAATAAGTTCCAGTTCTCTTTAATGGTTAATTAACTATTTACCGTTTAGTGGCAATAGCATCAATTTCATCAATGAAAATGATAGCAGGGCTATTCTCTTTAGCTAGACGGAAGACATCTCGCACCATACGCGGTCCTTCACCGAGGTACTTCTGTACGAATTCAGAACCCACCACGCGAATAAACGCCGCTGAAATAAAGAATTTTCAATGTTTTAATATAGTATTCTATTTAATATAGTACAAGTTGATTTTAAATAATTGATTCTAATAAGGAAAGAACAACTTAAAAGTATATTGGAAATAGATTTGCTCTCTCTTGCTCGCTCTTTGAATGAGAACTGGTTGCAATATGTGCACCACAGCCTATTTTGTCAAGGAATATTGGTGTTATACTATCTTAATTGTTTTTTCAAATAAGAGAAGTATTTTCTCATCATAATTTGGAAACATTGAGAACGAAAATAGGTCAGATAAGTCAAAGCTGGTGTAAAAAGGATGGGTGAGGCCAATGAGGGTAGGAAGTTAAGGGTTTGGTGGAGCTAAAGATGGTGCAGAACAAGCTATTAGTAGCAGGACTTTTGGGAGGCACAAGCCCAACAATAGGACAGGATAGAAATATTAAAAGGTGAACTATTTTACTTACCGGTAGTATGATGAGCTACAGCTTTAGCCAACATAGTTTTGCCGCATCCAGGAGGACCATACATGAGCACACCACGAGGGGGTTCAATACCAATCTGTCTGTAAAGCTCCACATGTGTCAGGGGCAGCTCCACAGCCTCTCTGATCTCCTGTTTCTGTGTGTCCATACCTCCAATGTCTGAATACTGAACATCAGGTTTCTCATCTGTGAATAAAGTTGTTTATATTAAATTTGCATCCAATTTACTTTTTAGACTGCCTCATTGGCCGAGTAGTCGCAAGTGTGACTGCCTGGCATGGGGTCTGGGGTTTGACCCGGGTATTTCTGGATATTAAGTAAACTCGTAGTAGCATGGAGTTTGAAATTGTGCCCGGTATATGGCAATAGGTTCACCCTCAATTACATGGGACTTAGTGTAAAGTGGGGGTTATGCTGTACAGTGGCATTAAGTGCCGTAATGTGCACCTCTGCCTACCCCTTTGGGGATAAAAGGTGATGTTATGTTATTACTTTTTATAAAACTATGACTATTACTTGGTATTGGCCTCTAAAAAAAGTCACAATCTGTGTAAATGTTTATGGATACTAATAGTATCACATTATTAACAGGATACTACATTATTTTCCACAGAAGTGTGAGTAGATGTATAAAATTGAAATGGTTTTGTTTCGAACCAGTTTTGTTACTTTTAATCTAGGACTTCTAGTGTTAAGCATTTCTTTACTTATAAAATAAGTAGGATAATAATTTAGAAAACTAAACTTAAGCTAATACCCAAAAGAAAGAATTTTATTTAAGTAACTGAATTTTGAAAATGATTTGGAAAATGTTCTACTAAAAAAATTCTAGTTTCTTTTAAATACAATTTCCGAAATCCAGATACATACCAGCTTGCAACATAGAGATAGAGCTGTCAGCTTCTGGTGGCAATACATCCACAAGTGCATTGGAGTGCTTGTGCAGAGCCACAGATGCAGATGGCTTCAACAGTTCTCGGTCAATGGTGGACAAGATACGGACATAGTAGTTGGATCCTGTAGTACTGCCAACTGTGGAACACAAGGACTGTTAAGTTAGTATGAAATGAATATGGCAGTATTATTACAACATTGCCTACATATCAGACATACAATAAATATTCTCTGGATTACAGTCTTACAAACTTTCAAGAACAAATTTCATTCATTCTTTTTTTAAAAAAACAAAGAACTGACATTCTTGTGACAATTTGTCAATCTATCAACTTTTCTAGCATTGTTCTAGTTAGTTTATATCATATTCATGGTACAAACCTATTCCAGTATTTTGGTCGACTGCTTCAAGGAACTGGCCAATAACAAGTGGCACAGACTGTATACGCTTCACTTCTTCTTGGGCATGCAGATATTCTTTTTTCAAATTTCTTTGTTCATCTTTTATATATTCCTCTTGCACTTCCAAGAATTCTAACATACGCTGCAGTTTCTATAAAAGAAAATTCTCGTTTAAATGCAATACCAGTTATTACAATGAGTACAATAAAATTACTCTTGCCAATAGTTCTTTCAGTTGTTATTGTTAGCTGGGAATGATTGTCATGATGAAAGTTATAATTAGGTTTATGTTATTAGGGACATATTCTACTTTGAACAAAATTTCTACATAACAGAGGCAATTTTCATAGTTTATTTTGAATCTAGTCCATGAAACAGCTTGTGGTATACTATAATTTTGTTTTATAATGAAATGCAACAAACTTACCTTATATTTTGTGTAGAGATCTTCGGATTCCAGTTCATCAAAAGATTGAGGTCCAGCAAAGGGCAATCCTTTAGCATCGGTGACTTGGTCATCCTGAAAGACAATGATGATGTTACTCAAAAACAAAATAAGAGTTGTTAAGTTTAATGAATTGGTGAATCACTGTTACCTTCTCCGGCAATATAATACCGATTTCTTCCATAATGAATTTGGTTTAATAATTTAATTTAAAACAGCTGAAATAAATATGTATATGATAAGTCGACTGCTCACGATTCGGATGCCACTTTATTCAACATCATTCACATCATTGAGTAACATGACATTACAAAATACATTGAAATTTGAAAGGGAAGATATAATTCTACTATGGAGTAAAAGAGACCAAGTATAAAAAATGCTCAAAGTCTGCAATGTGTAAATAACAGCAGTGAACTTGTCAAACTTTCGAAACGCATCGTCACTTACGTTTCTATTTACGCTGTACTTACGCATTTAACGTTTCCTCGATCTTATTTTATTAACAGAAAGATTAAATGTTGTAAAAAAAATAAGAAAATGAATAAATATATATTAATATTGAATTTAAAAGATATAATTAAAAATTTCAAAGTTATTCAAAATACCTTTGACGTTTGGTGTGAACCAGTCAAAATAACAAAATCTCAAATCTCGTGTTCGAATTTCTAAAAAGTTGCATGTTGCAACACTTTTGTCACCAAAATTAACCTCAAATTTGAATTGGTGCAACCAATGTTACCTATTTTCATTTGTTAATTGTTTATAATCAATATCTCAGTGAAATACACTGAAAAATTACTGCTAAATAGGATCGTTCATTTCTCAAATTGTAGACATGGCACAACCTGAAATGAGTGAGGCTGACCAAATCAAAACAGTGAGTCGATTTTTTATAATTAAAATACCAAGCGTATGTTATTCCTTACAGAAATCATAATAAAATTGAAGATTTTTATGTGGAGCAGCGCTGAATAATGTTATTACAGTAATTTTAAGTTAATATTTACAAGGACTTTTTAATAGTACCAATTTTTCTCATGTTTCAGTTCAAAGACTTCTTGGTCCAGTACAACAAGCTGTCTGAGTTGTGCTTCAATGACTGCATACATGACTTCACCACGAGATCACTGAAGCCATCGGAGGTAAGAACAATTAATGTCTTATTATGTCAGACTCCTCTAAGTTTCATCATCACAGACTTCACCCATCATCTTTGTTGTATACAAAAGAAATGCAAATGACTCTTTGACCTAGCAGCTTAAAGTGCGACTTTCGGTTGTGAGTCTCCATTTTGTTTCTGAAGTCATTTCATTCATTCATTCTCATAAGCTTACAGCAGTTGCTTAGTCTAAAATACTGTGTTGTGTATGACAATAATTTCACTTCTACTAAGTATGTATTTGGGATTTAAAACTAATGAAAAGGTGTGTACATCTGGCCACCCCAATGTGTTCTTTTGATTAACTAAACCATCAAATTAACTTGAATTTTAATCTAATAAAACTAATGTTATTTTTTCCAGGATAAATGCACAATGAATTGCATGGAGAAATATCTCAGAACAAATCAGCGGGTGTCACAAAGATTCCACGAGTTCCAAATGCTGGCTAATGAAAATATGCTTGCACTAGCACAGAAGACAGGTCAAAGTTAGGTTTAGTAATAATGATACATGATGTATTTATTTTATTTTGTTATAGATTTTTGTCCTGTGTGTTAGAAAAATACAAGTGTTGTTAAATGAAGCCTAACAATATTTTAGTTTTATTTAATACTAGCTTTTACCCGCGGCTTCGCTCGCGTCACAAAAGGATAAAAGTAGCCTATGTGACATATACCAATACACACAGCGCCATCTATACCAATTCTTTTGTTTTCCCTCGGGAATATCAAAATTTTCCGGGATAAAAAGTACCCTATTATTTAATCCGGACTTCTAACTTTACGTCTGCAAAAATTCAAATCAATCGGTTTAGTAGTTACGGCGTGAACACGGAACAAACAAACTCACTTTCACATTTATAATATTTTATTTTGTATTCAAGTTTCCCTTGTGTCATCATCATTATCATATTATTAGCCACAAGATATTCACTGCTGAACATAGGCCTCCCCGAACAGGACTTCCAGATAGATACATATTTTTTATGAGAAGCATAAAATTAAAAAGTATCTGGTAGCATCAGCTTCTACCAGCGGCTTCGCCTTCGTTCCTGTAGAACAAAAACAGATAGTCTATGTATGATTCCAGACCGTCTACTGTTCTATCCCTGATCCAAATTTTATCTCGATCCCTTCAGCCGTTTTGACATGATTGTGTAAAGCATTTATACATACATACATACATAACATCACGCCTTTTATCCCCGAAGGGGTAGGCAGAGGTGCACACAGAAGTAACACCCACTTTTCACTATTTATGTTATTAGTCCCATGTAATAGGGGGTGAGCCTATTGCCATATACCGGGCACAATTCCAGACTCCGTGCTACTACTGAGGTTTTTTTTTAAAACCCAGTAGTACTTTGCCCGACCCGGGAATCGAACCCGAGACCCCTTGCCCGGTAGTCGCACTTGCGACCACTCGGCCAACGAGGCAGTAAAGCACTTATAATATTAGCAAGATATGTAGGCATCCCTACTACCTAGGAAGGAGAGGACTATGTGGGGCCTTTATTGTCAAACACTTTTTAAGAACAGGTTTTTTTTTAATTATGAATAGCAGCACGGAGTCTTGAACTGTGTCCGGTATATGGCAATAGGCTCACCCCCTATTACATGGGACTCATAACATAAATAGTGAAAAGTGGGTATTACATTGTACAGTGGTATAATGTGCACCTCTGCCTACCCTTTCGAGGATAAAAGGCGTGATGTTATGTTATGTTATGTTACGTTTCTAAGAACACGTTAGGGTAGCATTAAAAAAGAAAGAATGAAATACCTAGTATTCTCAGGGCAATAATTATCACCCGGTGTGTGAGTCAGGTTGAAGGAGGCCCAGTCCCTCCCCCCATCCCAAAATGGCTGACAACGCGCTTATAACTCTTCTGGCGTTGCGGGTGTCTATGAATGGGGCCGATTGCTTACCATTAGGTGATGCATCTGCTCGTTTACCGACTCACAACTCGACTGCTACGTTCAACTCACTCCAAACCTAAATTCCGAAGGCGCCTAATTTTCTACGATTGAGATATTGCCGTAGTTATTTTTGTAGGTGCTGATTTAAACTGTCAAACACCGCAAGGACACCCGTGACCGCAACCTATTGTTCTTTAATTGTGTCTATAATGACGGTACTCAAAGGGTTAAATAAGTATATTAAACAGACGAAAAAGGTTGATAAAGAGGAAACTACCCACGTGTCTAGGTATTTTCTCAGATAATAATATACGGGTGCATCGTATCGGGGTTACGACTTAATAAAAAAACAAATTGTAAATAGTAGGTAATGTTAGGTATGTTATTTAATGACGTAAGAAAGTAATTACGCAATTAAAGCTGAGAAAGTATCACTGAAGTTAAATTTGACGTATGAAACCTTATACATGTGAAACGGCATCAATGAGTTTGAAATTGTAACATAGTTTGGACGACCATTCTTTTCATCCGATATTTTAGATACTTCATCAAAACAAAAATAAAAGTGTCCATTGTTATGTATAAATAATAACTATTATACTTTAAATGTTATTTTTTATTTTCTCAAACTCTGTCAATGTCCTTTATTATTAGAACATCTGCTTGTTGGCTTGCTTGAATTCGATTAATTTACTAAAAATTGTTTTCAAATTATCATTTATCTGTCCTGCATAACATACACATTATGCTTCTTTTCGGACAAGGCTTAAAGCACCGTTGTTCAGGTGGTGAGAAATCTAGTATAAAAGATGATTGCGAACTAGTATAATCGAAATGATAGTCATTAAACTTTGCTTCCACGCTGTATTTAGCTGCTGGTGGAGGATTCGGACCTGTACCAGGTACTTCATCATCAACGTTTAAAACATACTTCAGTGGGTAAGGCCCTGAGGGCGCGTTGCTAATGTTAGAGGGTTTGGTGACGATACTGTAATTTCCACCATGTCTGACGATTCTTATGAGAGCTTGTCCACATGGAGATTGTTTGCAGCAAGATAGCGTCGATGGACAGACAGTAACGCATTTGGGAGGCAAACAACATGGTTTGGAACATGTCGCTCGACAACATATTGAAGGTGAAGGGGTGCACTCGCTTTTAATGCAATTGTGCGCCTCAATTTTTCTGAGAACCGGGCAGGAGATGTGACCAGGTCGCCAGCCGCATCTCAACTGAAAAAAAGACAATGTCAAGAAATTTCTTATCCAGACCAATCATCTCTTCTCCAGAAAGTGCGTTTTATTTTCCTCACTTGGTGTTCAGGGGCATCTCTGGCGGTGTACAGCCATCCCATGTGTTTTGGCACGGGTCCTGGTTTTATTTCTTCTCTATCTAAGCATCTGTGCTTCGGCAGATCGCAGCGGCCCAAACAACTCGCCGAAGATTTATTTGCTGTAAGAAAATGTAGGTGCCTAAGTATTATAGGGTCGAATCCACAACACTATCCGATAAGTAGGTATCTAACAATTAAAATTATTTTTTTATTAAACGGTTTTAATGAACTCTATTGTATAACGTCCCTAGCTACTTAATTTTACACGTTATAAAATAAGTACTTATAGGCAGTCTTTTTGTTCTGTGTGTCTAAATGTCTAAATTAAATAAATAAATAAAAAAAATATGACTAACTAAAAAGCTATCTAATCGACCAGCTTTCCGTATTTTATTACTAGAATGCAGGACGTTTTGTGTAAAATGTTTTAGTCTGGATTAGCAAAACTGACTCATTATAAACTAGGTGTTTCTAATTGTGGTCTGGTTAGTTGCCTTCAAGATTTTGGTATAGCAGTTTCAGATACCACACGTAGGTTCCCTAAGTGCCTATTTATGTAATATTACAATATTTTACTTACATTTACCCTGTGCTTTACAACAACAAGCCATTTTAAAAAATTTAAGGAACTGCAAGAAAAACAGTGGTTTATCACAACACACGATTAAAGATTGACAAATTTATAGGTCTGCAACTGTATGGAAATTTAAAATTAGCCAGGATACCTACACTATAGATGAGGAAATAGTTCATAAATAATACTTGACTTAGGTACTTTTACTTACTTTTTAGACGTTACGGGATATAGGACATATTTAGTTTTGCCGGGTTATCCATCAGATGGATAGGTGTTTTATTCCAGAAATAATTTCCATGGGATTAAAAATAAATTCAGTATTTAGGTTTACATTTCTGTCTTCGGTGTAATTGACGGTGACAGACTGCAAGTGCCATGTTTTCGTTCTTCGAATATCTTAATTTTTTTTGACGGTTTTCTATGTGATAACTAGAGGTACTTAAACTTTTTGCTTTCGTTGCTTTTTCTTGTAGGTAAGTCAGCAGATTGTTTATAGAATCTTCTACTTTCTGCCTACCTTTAACGAATTCTCTAAACTGTGATTCAGGGATCTCAGATTGGTAATATTTAATACAAAAAATAAAAACCAGTTTGTGTCGGACGATATGAAACCACGGTCATATTTTGAAGTCATCGGCCTAGTCAAGGTTAGGTGGCTCTAACTTATGTACCTCAATAGATAAGCAGTTTAATAGCACTGCTTTGAAGCTTACATATTAAAGTCCAAATAATTTTGTATCCGTAGCTAGATCCAGTATTTGATATATGATTCTAAATTCTTCAAATACATCCCATAAACTGCGTTGTTGTTACATCACGTGACATTTAAATAATGAGGTTAGAGGTCGCTGCTGGGTAAAATGATCCTAATTTTGTTTATACAATTAGGTATAATGTGTATTAAAGTGCGTGATGCGTAAGAAAAGTAACTGCAAGATACTTATACCGCATCATCGCTTACCAGGCACGTAGGATATTACACCAGGCGAGATAGTGGTCTAACGTCGACCAAACAAATATAAAAAAGAGAACGACGGTACCTAGTAGTAAGTACTAGTAGGAGAAGAAGTAGTTTGTTATTTGCAAAATTAATAGACCGAGAGAAATAGATTCCATTGTTAAACTTATCAAACTACTTGCCTCTGGACCAAAGTACCTACCTACATATTTAATTACTTATTGTGAAGATATCGAATAAGTTTTCGGTTTCTTTCATAAAATGACGTCCATTATATTTTTTGAAGAAATAAGCAGCAGTCACATCCTTTTGTCTCGATTATTTATCTTCTTCTTCTTATAGTGCCTCTTCAATGTTGAAGGTCGGCCGTCAGCTTCTTGTATTTCTCCTTGTCGGTTATTTATCTATCTTGTTCTATACTTATAATAAATATGTACAGAGGTCAATTCTATACATGAAATGTATTTCCAAAATAACTATCATGGGTAATTAGGGATCGGTACTGATGCCAAAAACAGATAAGTAAATCTACTTAAAAATAATAGATAGACACCAAACCCTAAAATGTGATTAAAAATTTCACGCAATACGATGAAACTTGGTATGATTATACTTAAATTTTTAAGATTTTAAATGTTTTCTTACTAACCCCTATGGATGCTTCACTTGTCCGAAATAAACATTATTTTATTTTTTTATTTTATTTTTAATATCCTACATGGGCATCACACTGACTACCTGCTAAAAAACATGTAGCAGATGACACTCTTAGTTTCTGTCAACCTTCATGGTTGTGAGTTACCTATGTATAAGTATGTATATACGTACGTATGTATTTCGTAGGACAGGTGCATTATGTTATGGATGTATGTACATAAGTTATCAACGTCACTTCATTTTCCCAGGGGAGAAATAAGGCAATTACTGGACTACGACAGTGCAAAAAGTTATTAATGTCATCATGGTAATGTAACTAAATGACACGACTAATTACACACCGTAAACAATATTAGCTTTCTACAAAAATATAATAGGTAGGTAAGGCACGAACCACAGTTCTTATGATATAAATTACTTTCAGTTTGGCACTAGATAAGTGTATCAAGGCAACCGTGACAGCCTCAAGTCCGTCCGTGTGTTACATAGGTAAGATAGCTTACCAAAAGGTAAAAACTATAATAGTAAAGTAAGAAACTCACTTTTTAAATAACGTAATAAGTAAGTTTTTAAATATATTCCTGTTCCTAATTTCAATACTTTTTAATTTCAAAAACTTTCAATAAATACTGGATTCGTTGAATGGTGCAAAAAATGGAGTAAAACTGTACTAAAATAGAGGTATAATAATAAATAAATAAAAAAAATATGAAGACTATCACCGCTTCTAGCGTGGTCACTGATAGCAATTGTAAGTATTTTATCAAAAATCATTAGTCGCCTTCGTGAACATGGACTCGTCAATGCGAATACATTCCACAGATTCCTAATAAAGCTATTACTCACTAGTTACACTAATGAGAACTATTCGTTTTTTGACTAATATATTTATAATGGAGGTTGGCACACGCCGTTACTTATCAGTGGTTGACCAACGCGATTAACACTATTTTCAATAAATCGACACATTTAATATTGGGTCGCTATTACCAGCTGGTTCATCTTAGAGATCGGCAACAAGTAGTATCGACTATTCAACCGGATTGAGACTCGAAATGTGGAAGGTATAATTTGTTTACAGAATACGGAACCGAATTCAAGTGTGTTTGTATTCCAATTTAGTTTTTTCGGATCGCACTGTAATATTGGTACCATGGAACAGCGCCGTAAATAGGGCGGTGCCAGCGGTGCCCAGGCACAGGGCGCAGACCCTGGAGGGGCGCAGAAATGACCAGACTACTATCTAAATCTGTATCGCATAGTAAACGATCTTGAAACAACAACACATGTCAAACGACTCACTACACATCAGACAAATGTATATCGACCTTAAATCTTGCTCGCAATATTACATACACAAACAAAAGTACTTATACTATAACTTTGGGCGTCTGTGCCCGCGGCGCCTGCGCCCGCGGGGCGAAACAAAAAAGGAGAGGCACTCCATCCCGGCAGGCTAGAGTTGCAGCAGCGGCGGTGGAACCCGCCCCGCGAGCGGAGGACGGCGGTGGGTGGCAAATCGCTGGTGAGGCGAGGAGAGTCGCCAAGGAGGGCCGTTAGCGCCGCAAGAAGGCGCAGCGGCAGCGACGGCAGCAGTAGCGCAGGGAGAAACGGGCTGCTGCCTTGCTCCTCGCCCCTAGGACCGCGGTTTTAGTAATTACGTCATGGAGGAGGTGGGGACGTACTCCGACCAGCGGTATATCCGGTTCGACGTCTCCGCCGAGTCCGCGGACCCGCCGGTCAGACAGGCCCCATGTGGCCCGCGTTGGGCGCTTAAACAGCTGGACCGGGAGCTGCTCCTGGAAGCCGCTATCGTGCAGGCCTGGGTGATACCAGCCGTCAGGCCTGCTGACATTGACGATTAGGCCAAGTGGTTCCAGGACGCCACGTCCAGGATTTGTGACGTGGCGATGCCCCGGATCCGATCGAGGCAACAAAATCGCCAGGTGTACTGGTGGTCGCAAGAGCTGGCAGCTCTACGCAAGGCGTGACTACTGCTGCGTGACGCCAGTACACTAGGCACAGCAGGCGCTGCATCCGTCCTCCGAATGTGAAAGCGAGAGAGGCGGAGTTATACGAGGGATACAGGGCGGCGAAGGCAGTCCTCAAGGCGGAAATACTGCGGGCCAAGGAGGTGGCCCGCCGAGAGATGCTGGGGACTCTGAACAGAGACCCGTGGGGACGCTTTACCGGATGGTACGCGACGCGACAAGCTCCGCGCTTGGGCTCCCCCGCTCACTCAGACTATCCGGCCAGAAGTCTTAGAGGAGGTGATTGGCGCCCTGTTCCCCCTACTGTGGAGAGGCTTCACCCCTCCGTATATGACCCCTGCGGTGCCCGACGAGGGCTATAGCGACGACGACGACGACATCGTCTCAGAGGTGACCTAGGCAGAACTGAGAGCGGCGGTGCGCCGGATGGGCGCCAAGAACACCGCTCCAGGACACGACGGCTTGCATGGCAAAGCATGGGTCCTGGCCTCAGAGGCTCTCGGGCCTCGATTAATCGGCCTTTACAGCGCATGCTTGGAGAGAGGCCAGTTCCCGCTGCTCTGGAAAGCGGGTAAAATGGTCCTCGTGCGGAAGACGGGGCGCCCTGCGGACTCTCCGTCCGCGTACCGGCCCATAATGCTGCTCGACGAGGTGGGGAAAGTCTTCGAAAGAATAATTTCGAACCGCCTCGTCGCGCACTTGACGGACATTGGGCCGGACCTGTCGGACGGCCAGTTCGGCTTCCGCAGAGGGCGCTCCACGGTGGACGCCATCATGCGCGTTAGGGACCGGACGACAGGGACTGCAGTGTAAGGTCGTTGTGGCGGTGTCTCTGGACATCGCCAACGCCTTCAACTCCCTGCCCTGGAGCTGCATCGTGGAGGCACTCCGATATCATCGGGTAATCACCTACCTCCGTCGTGTAATCGAGGCTTACTTGACGGATAGGTCCGTCATTTACCCCGGTCACCGGGGCGAGTGGAACCGGCGAGAGATGTCGTTAAGGTGTTCCACAGGGTTCGGTTCTGGGGCCGCTCCTATGGAACATCGGGTATGACTGGGTGCTGCGCACCGACCTTCTGAACGGCGTTAGCATCATATACTACGCTGACGAACACGGACGGGAGGTCGCACCAGGCGGCGGCCGCTTAATGGCGACAGCGGTTGCGACAGTTGTTGAGAGAATCCTGCAATTGGGACTCGAGGTGGCGCTCCACAAGTCCGAGGCTATGTGTTTTCATGGCCGCGGGAACGCGCCACCTCCGGGTGAGTCCCAAATAACGGCGGGAGAGGTTACCATCGGCGTCGAGACAACGATGAAGTACCTGGGACTCGTCCTCGACAGTTGGTGGAACTTCGTGGAGCACTTCTGACGTTTGGCTCCAAAGTTGAAGAGGACGGGGGCTGCGTTTAAGCGCATCCTCCCCA